TTGTACTGCTGCTTCTGGTAGCTCTGAGTCCGCCTCAGGTGTCTCCGGGCAAACTTGTGGGTCCGCGTGAGCTTCGCTCTCAGCTCGTCGACGCAATTTAGTGCCTCGGTAGTCTCCTTTCGTTCCTCCGGTGACCCTGCAACGACGTCCTGGGGAAGTCCCACCTCCCGCCCGAGCATGAGCATGTTCGGGGTGAGCCTGGTGCTATCGTGCTGAGAGGAGCGGTAGGCCATCAGGACGTAGGGAAGATGTTCGTCCCAGTCGTCATGATTCTCATCCACAACCATTATGCTGGTGTTTCCGGCCTTGGTTCGGGGCAGGCGTCCAATAAGGTCAATGACGATCCGCTCCATAGGGGCCCCCGCCAGGTATTGTCGAAGCGGGGCTCTCCCAGGACGCGGTGGGGACTTCTTAGAACCGCAGAGTTGACACTTTCTGGCACCACTCCTCGGCCTGCCGTCTCATCTCCCTCCAATACACAGGGGCCTGCCTAAGTTGGGCCACGGTCCGAGCGACCCCGCTCGGACACCCGAGGTGTCCAGTAGCTCGGTGGTTGTGGGCAAGAAGTAGAACCTCTGGCACCCTGGCCTGCGGGACGGCGATCTTTCAGGTGGGGAGCCCCCCGTCGGCCCTTGCCCACTTCACCTGCAAGACCCCTCAGAATAGGCGCAGTGTGTCCCATCTGGACCACTAGCTTTTGACCCCGGCGCCAAGGTCGGAGATGTCCTCCCATTCAGGCCGGTCGCTCCCCGTCACCAGCCACTGGCAGACCGGTCCCAGCTCCGGGTCGTCCTGCTGCTCCTGAGCTAGCTTGCTCAGGTCCCAACTCTCGGGAAACCCGTCCAAAATCGAGTCATCCTCCTCTCCGTCCATGTCGGCTGTCGCAACCAGGAACTCGTCCTCCGCCTCCGTCTGCCAGCTCCGTGGGGGGTCTGAATCCGCCGGAGGGGGCCGACCCCTGCCCACCGGAGTCCGCCCCCCTGGAGCAGCGAGGTAATGCCGGGGGCACCGCAGCGACTGGAGTCTCCTCCACACTGGACCCCTGGATCCCCCACATGGTAGCGGAGAAGACCCTCGGAACCCACCAGACTTGTACTTGTTGCTTGTTTTCACTCCTTGTACGCTGCGCAGGGGCGACCGGGATGGCCTCGGGCTGGCCCGCCGGGTTGCGCCGCCTCGTTCGGGGACGAACAAGAGTCCTCCGAGGGGGCGGTGTAGCGCCGGCGAGTCCGGCCGGTGAAGGCGCCAACTGGGACCCGCATGGAGTTGGCTGGCTGTCCGCACTGGTATGCGAACGGCCCGCGGTTTTCCCGCCTCGCGCCTGCGGAGTCCGTGCTGACAGGCGCCATGTTCAGAGCTGAGCTAAAAACGCATTGTTGTGGACGACAGCATTAAAACAGATTTCGTGACCAAAACAGCGAGTTGCGGCTATGTGTGATTCTATACCAGCGTCGAACCCTGATCAGTAGGACATGCTACAGTACCTATGGAAAGGTGCCTTATCACTGAAAAAGCGCACGCAAGTTCTGTTCTGATATTGGAAAGGCATCGCTCGAAAAGTAACAGAATTAGCGTGATTCCCATGTATCCTAATGTTGTAAGTGCCGTCGAGAACCGTTTCTTGCTTCAGCATCTTTACGTCAACATGTTTTCCATCAAAGTGGTGGTGCTTGTCGTCTGTTTTGCTCACGTCATTTAGGCTGGCATGAATGATGATTTCAGTCAAGATAGACGCCTGGGGGCCCTGTTGAAGCGTTTCGTTGAAGCTAGCAACTCTAGAACTCTTCCAGAAGATGATTTGCCTGCAAGGTTTGCAATGAGTTAACACAATAAATGAGTTAACACAATAACTTTGACACGAAGCACTTGCAAAGTCGCCACAACCACCACCACGACCATGCATGCGCAATAGAGACACAGCATCTACGTTATAACAATTATGACTATGGAACAACCATGAAGATAGCACCACAATGATCAGGACTACCACATCAGGCAGCTGAACGCTTGTAGAGTCCTTAAAAATCACCTCATCGGTAGGCATGGTTGGCCCCATGATGACAACCATAAAATGCAGTATCAACACTTTAGCTTCCTGATGTGGAATTGTGTCTTTCATGGAAAAGCATGGATTTTGTGTACAGTTTAGCGTATATCCTAAGAAAGTTAGCCTGCACCCGAATCTCTTGTCGAGATCTAGGTTTTCAGTCCATTGGAAATGCGTGGAGACGCGCAGAGAGTAGACCTAGCCGTAGCTCTGGAAGCCCGTTTCGGACACGGCCTTACTTTGGCTGTGAGGTCGTAGCACATATACTGTGAAAAGAGAGATGGCAGCCATTTTGAAGAATATTCCGTGGGTAGGGGAGGTTTAATAGCGCGCCCTCAAACAGATGAGGTACTACCGATGCTTCCCGTCTGCGACGGAAAAATGTTAACAGAAACAAAATTGGGATGTCCTACCGAAGGCAGCTTTTTGCAATCAATTATTAAAATGCATATTTATTTCTTACCATTTGGAATGGAAGAAATCAACTTTAGTTTCGGAATGGAATTGATAAATTTCTCATTACATGACAAAACCTTCACTGAGCCAAACCACACCTGTCAATTAAACATGCACATTATGATGTATGTATGTAGCTATTCGTTGTATATTCATACCTTGTCACATGCACATGCGTGGATAAGAGCTTTGAGAGTCAGTTTTCGAGAATTAAACAGAGCTAGCAACAGATCTAGATCACGATTGCAGATAACTTTGATGTTTTTCTCTGACTTGGTCTGGGAAACTGATTAGTTTCAGATTATTCCAATGCTATGATGCAGTCGGTCGACCCTGATACATTCGTAGATACACAGTTGAAACTACACTCTAAAACCTCCCTCGTCAGATTGATCCAGAATTAGGTCCCATTCGCCGTGACCCTTTTCTAGGTCAAAATATGAGCCCCTTTCGGGTCATATTTGACGCTTTCCGGATCATATTTGACCCTTTCCGGGTCATAATTTGATCTGGAAAAGGGTCTCCCCGAATGGGACCTATTTCTGGGTCAATTTAGGCCCTGGAGTTTTTAGAGTGTACTAGCCATAAGAACGTGTTTAGCAAAAGGGATATGTTTGCTATGAAATACATGTATCTCATAACCATTTTGTTATCTTTGAAAAGGGTTAAATGTCCCTCTGGCCATGTTGGATGTGATCGTATGTGCTACAAATGGGGTTTGGCATTCACCATTTTCAAAACACCGGTACTCCGCGACGGTTGTGTACAAGAATTCCGACACTGTGCACGCATGATTTATTTCACGGCAGACACAAAGTTGTAGCCATATAGTTACGGCACACAACTTGACTAAATTCAACCTCAAAGAGCAGTGGGCAGAATCCGCCCCCTGTTGATTTTTGCTTATAGCATCTCTGGGATTAATTTCTGCGTGCTAATATTTGAATCTTTCTCTATGTATTAGCCTCATTTTGACCCCAAATTTATGAAAATTGCAGTGCAGATTTTTAGGAGGCAGGATGAAGTATAATATGAAATGTACCATTGACTTTGGACACAGGACATAGAAGTACATCGTAAAAAGGGCAGAGTGATTTCCTTTTGTCAGGAAGCATGTTGCTTTGGGGAAGGTCTATTTATTGTACAATTAACTTATGCATATAACTGTATACAGCTCATAGTGTCTCTGGTTTCATTTCCACTGAATATACCATCCATACAGCATCTTTGATGTGAAAAATGTAATAAAATTGCCCGACAATCGAAAGAAGATAAAAACAAAATTGGTATGAGGAATAATTAATGAGTCATAATTAGGCAAAAACTTAATTAATTGACATCTATATTCACACTGGTGATTAGTGTGTATGCTTCTATGCTTTCCACCCTAGTTGTCTGTCACCACGAATAGCTTGAAATCCCATCTAGATTAAAACCTCCTTAAAAAATAGAAAAAAAAAAAAAAAAAAAAAACAGCCGAAGTCTTACATACATCTCATTTGTTTGAAAAATTTAATTTCGTTAGTTTCTGTATTTAGTACCATTCTCTATTGCAGTAGCTTGTTGCTGGTAGTAAGGAGCAATTCCTTATGTGTATGAAAGGGAGGTAACTGAAACTGCCCTTAAATTTAGTTAAATTTTCCGTAATCATTCAACTTTCTGAATTACATTATATTTTAATTAATCAATTGACATTTTCGTGAGGTACAAAAAAATGTTCATTTTTTTTCATATATGTTTCACTTGCTCTTGGGCTTATTTCATTTATTTTTATTTTTGAAATAATGTTGGTTCTGGTATTATGTTTTTCAATAAAAGGCTTGTACTTCTGCAAATTATGATAACATCAAAGCATTTATCTGTTTCTCAAAGGCACCGATATAATTGTTATCCCTGTATTGGGCTCTCAACATTTGAGTATTCAAATGCCAATCCCAACTCCTTGGGGAGTATAACGTGGACCCGTTATGCCCTACTCGGCACGCACAAGTCGTAGAAGCCACCGTTGGCCATCTTACCTTACCGTATTCAAAGGCAATACAAAGGCTTGTTCGCCATTTAATGCCCAGACAAATCTAATGACACTTCAGGATTTATGATGAACTCGACTTCATTGAAGTGACTCTTCTTGACAGCTCTAGTAAAATCATGTAATGATTATGGAGTGATAGCTCAATGGTTTGACACTATGAAATTTAAACAATTTTAAAATTGAAAACAAATAATACTCCTCCCCACTTTTTTCACGATTTTACACTTTTTTTCTGCCTTGAACTCCAGCAGTGCAACGCACTCTTCCAAAACCGTGCACTTCCAATTCTGTTGTGTTGTTTGCACTGGTTACATTATGCTGACTCGAACTGATACTTGAAAGTTAAGATTACAGAATCTAGAAATCTAACGTGGATCTAGCTCTTCGTTGCAATAAATATTATTATTGGATATTCGGCCGCTACTGACTGCATCACACAACGAAAGAGGGCGCCTTTCAGTTTCTCAACTTGTGATCGTAGACGAGTGGTGAAACCTCCCACTTTCAATGTGATTTCTGAGGATAAAATCTGTTCCAGTTCCAATCATCATGGTAAGTGATAGCTGGGTCATGTTAACCAGTGTATGTTCTGTTACGTTTAGTTTTGGTTTAGAACCTTAGTACAAGTCATATCCTTTCAAAACCAGGAACATTTTGTCGCGTGTGTAGACAGCATACAATGGCATACTGTACGTACCTGTACATGAACATCATACATGTACTGTACATGTACGTAGACCCACGGCGCAAAGCCAAAATGCTGCTGCCCAGTAATCGGACACAAATGCTTGTTTTGGGCCTTGGCCCTGGGCCTATACATGTACGTCATTATTTATTATCCACGAATACGGGGGTTAGCTGCATACAGAGTTTTTATAAATCCTTTTCATTTTTGATCAGGAAGTGCCAGATTATATGATAGAGCACAAAATGTTAATTTCAGCAAAACAAGTTAGACCTAAGCACACACATTTCTTGACATACATGTAGGCCTAGGCCCATGTACATTTACTGGACTATCATAGACTTAATGTACATGACGCCACTTCACAGGTTAGGCTTATTTCTTCATCTGGGATAGGCTGGAGTAAGCCTTTCTTGCATTCATTGTAGGCTTAGGTCTACCGTATTCCCTCTATGAAAAAAAATGAATAAAAAACAAAGAATAGCCTGTGACCCTGCCTTTACTATCACATTAACTCTATCACATGAAGTCTAGGCAGTGGATATTTAGCCGGTGACGGCAAAAGTTCAGAATGATATTTGGCTGGGACGTGTTTTCATCGGCAAATTCTCATTACGTCATCAGATTATGACATGTTACCATGCTTATTTAGTCTGGTTCTGCACTTTCATTACCGTACAGTGGGGGGTGGAAATCAGACCTGTGAAATTTTGGACTTTATTTCCCTTTAAAAAACCTCCTAAACCACGAAATGTAGAAAGAATTGGATGTAAACTTAATTAAATGTCAGATTTTTATTACTTTAAAAAAACTACTCACTGCTAGGAAAAAGAATTAAAAAAACAAGAAAAAATTCTCCATTGGGGTTTGAACCTGGAACCTCGCCCTCATGCAGGCATTCGGTTTATCTTTTTGAACTTCTGCATTGCTCGATTGAAGTTGGTATATTTCTAAATTATATACATTCGGAAACACATCCCGGCAATATAGCTTTGAAAAACTTTTGCCGTCGCCGCCAAAATAATCACTTCCTGAAGTCTATGACAAATTTCCCGTCTTAATAAAAGGTTGTGCCCTCACACCGATGTACCAGTACATTCATACTATAGGGGGCCTATACCGGTACTCAGTGCTTGTCCGAGACCTAATGAAAAAATGTACAAGTCTACATACTGTACATGTACTTAAAGATAGGACGACTCGAACCCACAACCTCGAGCTTACTAGTGCAGACGTCTTAACTGTTAACAGGTTTTTTCATCCAAATTCTATATTCAGAATAATTTAAACGACTCGAGCTGTATGTATTTGAATCTTGTAGAGTTTCCTCGGCTTTGGGCAAGGGGCGGACATTGATATTGTCCTCGACGATGCCGGCTCTCGCAAGATGGGGGAGATCAAGACGGAAGACGGCAAAAAAGAGCGACTGTATCTCTTCTACGATGGGGAGTCGATCACCGGAAAGGTGAACGTGAACCTGAAGGGGCGAAAGCTGGAACACCAGGGCATCCGCATCGAGTTTGTCGGCCAAATCGGTGAGTCAGCCCCAGAGGCGTGCATTTGTGGGTAGTACGTAAACCGTGTACACGTACATTGCACCCATCTGAAGGGTGTGTTTTCACGTCCCATGACAAGAAACGGGATTATGACATCCAGGTTGCTCGCAAACCAGAAATGGATATACTATCCTAGAGGGCATAGTTGTACAGTACATGTAAAATATTTCTTATTAGTCTTTGCTCAATATTCAGGAAGTTTCTCTCTGTCAGAGCTGTATCTTTTCACAACTGGTCTAGAAGGATCCGTTTTGAATCGTGGCAGGCAGCAAGAAATTGACAGGACACATCACTTGTTGTGGACACGACAAAAACTTTTGCGCTTTGTTTTTTCGGCCATTTTGAACTGGCCAGCACTGAGCCAACTCCATCCTTCGGGTCTCATTTGGTTGGAGCAATGGTGCCACACACGCATCACCAAAGTCGCAACAAACCTCCAACCAATGGCAAAGGCAGAGGCGTGTTTCTGGTCACAGTCTCGAAAACATGCCCCGGGTACCGTGGTACTTGTAAAAGGAACCTACACATGTAAACTCAAAAAAAAACAAACAAACAGATCTATGCAAAAACTGTATTGCCAAACCCTCAAAAATCCATGAACAAACAGGTGCATGTGAAATACACCAGTACATTATCCTGGTTTTTATATCATCCTGGGAAAAACTTTTAATAAACGCTCCTTTCTCTGTCTGAGAAGTTAAATGTACTAAATTACCCAATCCCGTAATTTTGAACTGGTTTGTAACATCATCGATCAAAACATGGATATCTAGATGTGATGCATGCCACTAGTATACCACACTGGCTTCCTGTCTCCTAACTTTGTAAAAACACAGCGTACTGTAAATCTACACGTACATGTATTTTCATACAGAAACACTATGGATTTTTCTGAAAGTACATGTACGTACAAGTACATGTGCGTTACCGGCCCTTTTGTTCAGAGTTAACGTAGTCACATACATTTTTCATGTCATAGAGTTGTATTACGACAGAGGTAACCATCACGAGTTCACGTCCCTAGTCAAAGAGCTCGCCCGGCCCGGAGAATTGACACAGTCTACAGGCTATTCCTTTGAGTTTTTGAACGTCGAGAAACCCTACGAGTCTTACACTGGTGCCAACGTCAGGTTACGGTAGGTCCACGTTCACAGTAACCTGTCAAAAACCAATCCATCCTTTCATCATAGAACCGATGCACACTGACTGTCCGCTCTGTATGGAAACAAGAAACTCAGAGAGTTTTTTGGTTTTCTTTAAAAAAAAGTAATTAATTCCAATTAATTAATTTCAAGTCCAAAACTTTGGGACCCCGGAAACCCATGTCTAAGAAATCCAAAACTGAAACCATGCAATACATATACAAGAAAATTGTCTTGTGATATTTAATAACCTGTCTAGAACCTTTTCGATAGTGCTGTATCAATCTACTATGTGAGAAGACAGATCTAGTGCCTAGTCTCTGTTCCTTTTCATGTCGTCTCTTTAGCCATGCCACCAGGGCACTGAATGGTTGATTTTTCAAAATGTTTGATGTGGATACTCCTTGAAATCATTTAGTTTCTCTCTTATGTGTTGGTGCAAAATATGAAAGAAACAGTTGCCTTTGAAAATTAAACTGAGACAGCCACCTGGCAGGGCGACATACTTGAGACGTCGTATTTGCCTCGTGAATAGTCGGGCCACCTTTTTATATTTCCTGTAGTAAAGGATACAGCGTGCTTTTGTTATGCCTGTTTTTACTGCATTCAGGGTCCCAGTCTGATTTATCCCTAACTTCAATTTTTGTCCCAGCCCTTCAGTATTTTCATTGGCAAAGTTCTTTTTTGTCCATTCAATGAACCGTATTGTCATTTCGTTGGCAGATATTTCTTGCGTGTGACGATAACGAAACGGCTGACAGACACGGTCAAAGAGATGGACCTGTTGGTCCACACGCTGTCCCACTATCCAGAAGTCAACTCCTCCATCAAGATGGAAGTCGGCATTGAAGACTGCCTCCATATAGAATTTGAATACAACAAATCAAAGTGAGTGGATAACCCATACATGTACATGTAAGTATGGTGAGTCGGGTTGGCAAGGTAGTTCTTTCCTCGCCTTCCACCTCTGTGGTCTCAGGTTCGAATCCCGGCCCGGTCCACGTGTGGATTTGGTTTTCAGTCCCTACCTGACTCCGTGGGTTTTCCTCCCACCTCTAAAGCTGTAACTGCTTCTTACTGTCTCCCCTTTACTGATGTTGGTGAATGTGGGTCATTGGGCGGCTGCCTGAGGCACCCTTGTATGCCATCGGCTCAACCATGTTTGAATGTATTCATTGTTCCACGCTTAATGTCTTCATTGTACAGCGCATTTGAACATATCTATATGAAATTTGCGCTTTATAAATGAATAAATTATTAAATATCACATGGTTTGAGGGTAATGGATTCAAAATGTCTGCTCCCAGAACAGTGTCAAATTTTCTCCGCGCGGAGAAGTTAGCACTCTAGTAATTTAATGTAGCTCTTTGGTTCAAATAAATCATCGGTAGGGTGGAATCTGTCTGAAATAGTTAATGTAGATTTCTTTCAGATATGTGGCTCATAAAGTTTACCTAATGCAGGTACACGTAACTTAACACTGCCGATTATAGTGCAGTTTGTTGGGGACAGCGTTGGTTCCAGAAATACGGAAGTAGGGGATTGTTACCATAAACTCCAGATTATTATGTCTTGACTTCTTTAGGTACCACCTTAAGGATGTTATTGTTGGGAAAATCTACTTCCTGCTGGTACGAATCAAGATTAAGCACATGGAACTTGCCATTATCAAAAGAGAGACGACAGGATCAGGTATGTAGGGTCAGGGGTCGCGGTTATCACCCTGGGGTAGGGAAGGGGGATCTTTTAGAGTCACTGACAGAAGGAACAAGCATGGTGCTCCGAAGTGCAGCGATCTGGCTCTGTGGCTAGACTAGGCACAGTTGAAATCAAATGAAGAAAAAAAGAGATTGTCCACCATGCCTCGTTTAAAGTTCACGGTCTCGTGTGTCAGCTTGCCTGTATTTGACAACGCAGTGGAAGATGTATATGTTTGTGGCTCGCCTGGCTTGCTTGAGAGTTGCTTGCCGGAATTTTCACCAACTTGATGTAAAATGACCACGAGATGTCAGTGAAGAAACTCATTAAGACACAGCACGTGAATAAAAACTATACTTCCGTGCGAAAATAGCGATGTTAGAGGAAATGTTTGGGGCATCTCCCGCAGGTCTTTTTAGAGGTAAACTCTCTGAGAATTGCGACTTCATATTTTGCTCTTTTTAGCAGCATTTTGTCATAAGATCACTTTTTCAATACGTTTTTATCTGTCTAGTCTGTTTCATCCCTACATGTGCATTGTAGATGACACTTTCGTGGTTAATTATCTATCCTTCTAAAGGTCCTAACACCTTCAATGAGAACGAAACTATAGCGAAGTACGAAATCATGGACGGGGCACCAGTCAGAGGTGAGATCTTCCCACACCCAGACTCATCTTGAAACCTTTCATTTCTTCCAGCAAACTGTACTGTTTTTTTTGTTTTCACACAAGGTTTATAAACCCTTCTATGCAAAGATTCATTATCAACACAGTTGTCCTATCATGCACAATCAGTCAAGTGACATGATATGTCTGTGTACTGTACAGGGGAAGTGGAAGGAATTTTGGACTGTTTTTGACTGTTACGGCAAAAGAAGGGTTAATAAGACACGTAAGACAGTTTGGCTACTTGGCTTGTTGGAAGTAGTTTATTGACCAATCAGTTTGCAGGTGGCACACGGCTAGAGGGTTGTTTGAAAAACTTGAGGTAAAAGTGGTGAACAAAATCATTTAAAACTTATGTTTTAGTTTCTTTAGATTTAGTTTACGAATGGCGATCAATTTGAACAGTTCCGTGGAAGACCAGCTAAGCACATTTATTCCCTCAATAACAGCGAAACATTTGGTGACCGATTTTGTACTCACCTCTGCCCTGTTATTTCTCATTTTGCCGGAAAGGCTCAAACATTTACTCTTACAAATATTTGGCCACCTTTGGGAATGATTGAGAGTGCCATGTCCATCTGCTGCAGGTGAATCCATTCCCATCAGGCTGTTCCTCTCCGGCTACGAGCTGACGCCGTCGATGCGAGACGTCAACAAGAAGTTCTCTGTTCGGTATTACCTGAACCTTGTCCTTGTTGACGAAGAAGAGCGACGCTACTTCAAGCAGCAGGTGAGAGAAACGATCAGGAGCAAAGATGAGAGCTTTGACAGAGTTCAAGCCAAAGGTTTTATTGCAGAGAGGCCTAAAAATGTCTGGAAGTATTTAAAGTAAATCCGAGGAAGTGTATTTTCTTGAATGGCAATTTTTTAGATTTTTCAGAATGGAAAGTTGAATAATATTGGTGGTTGAATTTTTTTTTCATATACTATTACAAGGAAACAAACGATTAAGACTGGTGATGTAGGCCCGAGACACCAGTCTTGGGAAGCCCACAGGCATTTGTGTCCTGTTGGCCCTTGTGACAAGTGTTCTGGTAACACCTCTATGAAAAGGGTAGTTCATAGAGCTCAAAAAGGCCCAAACACCTAGGCATTCCCTGGCTTTTCATGTGCAAACCAGCACCACTAGTTACGGTTTAATCCCGCACAGTTGAACATTTTTTCCAGTTTCCTTGCTTTTTTTTAACATTTCTTCCAAAATATTAGCTGGGAAAGAAGCCGGCTACATATAGAAACTCCAAAATGTTTATTGAACCGTGCGGTCTGATTTTTTCCTCCTCTTAATTGCAGGAAATTACGCTGTGGCGAAAACCCGACAAAGCAAAGAAACCCCAAAACTTCCAGACCCAGAAGTTTGTCTCTCAAAAATCCTAGAACGGGACGCCCAAATCTCTCTTCTCATCTGTAGGTCTGGAGACGACGACTTATTAGAGTGAGAACACGGAGAAGGGCTGTACATCTATATCCACGTCAGCTTGCACATGTATAATTGGTGATCATTTCTTTTTTTATTGACTGAGTAGTGAGTTTTGGTTGAGAAAAGACGCGATACTCACTCGTTGGTTACCAATGTAGAGCGTGGGCTGATTCTGGGATACAGTTGCCACCAATGTGCTCCCGGCTTCAGTAGTCAAGGTGATCTCGAGATCGTCGGATTCCGGTCTGCATGCAGTCTCGCACAGAGCTTGAGAAAAAACTAGCTCATGATCCAATAACTGTCTTTGCCTGCATAATTTTTAGGGCTTATGTTTTTCTTCATGGGGGGGCCTAAAGGTTCGGGTAGTTTGGGTTTTGGTAACTTAAAATTTATGACATTATGAAAGATGTTTTCTCCTCTAGCAAGTGAGATGGCACAAATATGTGATTGCGGTTACAGTATACATGCAGATGATCAGCATTCATGCATAATAAATGAATTTCACTGTTGAATTATTCATTATGAAGGCTTGGGAATCTACATTGGTAGAGATGTTTACGGCAGTTGGCTGTGAACCACACCTGCTAGTCCTTAACCCTAACCCTACATAATACTACAAATTACTACTTGTAGTAAAATGTAGTACTGAGTGCTGTCGCTTGTAAGAGGACATGACTGCATTGTTCTCTGAAGCCATAAGATACAATAGATAAGACAATGTACCATACAGTGCTCTGGCACTATGAATGCATGGCTTTATTGTTCTCTGTACAAGTAACAATTGTAACTTTAGGTCCTTCGGGCTCAGGCTATTACTTAGTATTTTGTAGTACTGTGTAGTGTAAGCCAAACAATATGCTTAGTGGTTAGGGTTAATCGGTGCTATTTATGCCATAGGCTTGGATTTAAACAATCATCGCAGTCTCCTTGAGTAAAGGCTAATGTATTTGGAGCCCACAGAGACCCTGTACCCAAGCACATGTGCACTTTCATGTTGATTCACGTACCAGTACATACGTACCATCCAAAAATCAATTAACAAAATCATCCAGCAAAGCATGTACATGTAAGGTTATAATACTTACAAATGTACAAACATGCTAAAGGCCCACAACACGGGCATGATAAAAACATGACCATGTACATGTATCCACCGTAATAGTGATGTGTATTTTTTATGTAATCAGGCAAGTTGCATAGAGGAAAAGAATGATCACCAATTATTCCCATGTAGAGTAGCTTCGGTGGAAAGAATTTATGTTGTACAAATTATCTAATCTCGTAGGATAGAGGAAATCTTGCAGATTGTCTTGTAATATCAAAGAACGTTCATATTATGCATAATATTTGACCAATCAGAACGAATATGAAATGGCCTTCATGGACAATACTTGTAAACCCGATCAGCGGTGACAGGTGGCAAACCAACCACATAAACCAGGTCGATACTCGGAGCACGCTCGGCCAAGAGCTGTGGGTAAATTGACACAGAATTATTTGTGGCCCGGTACCCTCAAACTTTATATTGACAGGTACGGAAACTTCTACAAGTATACATCACTCACCACCCAAAGCTGCTTGTTTACGAAAAGAAGCCAATTTATCTAAGTTCGTTAAGACATTTATTTCAAACAGTGATGCGTACCATAGCCTCGCATCGCGAGACGCCTCGATGATACCGTAATGCATTTAAGAGTAGACACAGAGCAGATCTCAATATGTTCCTTTTGTAGGATATGAAACCATGCGGAATGTGTTTCTGGCATTAATTATGACTACAGAAAAATCTTTGTCGGTTTGGATGAAAAGATCAACTTTTATACAAAGACACTCTGTAATAATACTTCGTGTAAACCAAATATTTTTTACTACAAACAATTCTGGTTTTGGTCCAACAGGTATATGGTCCAGGTAGATACAGCCTAAAAATTAATAAATAAAGTGGTCTTTAAATAAAAGGAGTTTTTGTTTGATCGGTTTATGCCTAAACACGCAAATCCTAAACTGGGATGTGTATAACATTTTTTCTGTAATTGTCTTATCAGTATTTACTTCCAATGTAAACGATTCAAATTTTAGTACGATCCAAGGCATAGCGCTTGCTGTGAATGTAAAAGACTGCTGCTGTTGAATGTTTTAAATTACAAACGAATTAATGTCAAATTCATCTGTGCAGTTGTTAATGTACATTATAACCCTGTTCAGGTTCTCACAGGTACGAGGTCATGACTTCTGTGTATCAAGTTTCACTCATTAATAAAACTGGAATGAGTTCTAAGTAATTCTGGTGAATAACTCAACAGGAACTTAAAGATATCTGATCTTGTAAATGTGCAGTGAAACCCAGCGGGTTAATTTTCACGCGTATGCGTACTCTGCCATGATACGAGTACCATCTGATACTTTTTGATCTTGAAACTCACAGAAATGAACTCGTGGAAAGAACTTGTACGAGTACTTTTCATGAGTTCATTTCTATGAGTACCAAGATACGAGTATTTCCACGAGTTCATTTCCGTGAGTACCACGATAGGAGTATTTTCCACGAGTTCATTTCTGTGAGTACCAGATAAAAAAGAATCAGGTATGAGTATACGGTACTTATCATGACATACATGTAGGTTTGATGGCTAGTCTTTAGTCATGTTTTGTCTGTGAACTCCAGTCAAAATCCCTTGGCGCTGCTCTAGAAAGATATAACACAATTGGCCGAGTTTTGACTTCTCAAGTCTATCAACTTGACAAAGGATGGTCGGTTGTGGACAGGAAACTAACATGTATACTGCGGATCACAGTGATTTTGCACGTGGAGAAAAAAATCATCCAAGTCACCGATGAAGCCATTGTGTTGCCACTGATGTTTGAAAAATGTGTGATAACTAGTTGAACTCAAAGAAGTTGACATTTACAGATTCATATATAAAGGCATGATATTCCATGCCACTGTCTTGACCAGCAAAATTGTTGCTTTAAATTGTGCATTTCTGTTTTTAATCAAAGGCAGAGATTGTGCTTGTTTCGTTTAAGAACACAAAAGGTTGGCCGTGTCTGAGACGGGCTGTCGTCATGAAGTGTGCAAGAATTAATTTGTTCTTGGCTAGAGGAGAATGCGTATCTTGTTACTGCAGTCAAGAGCTACTGAAACGAGAAAATCATTTGCACAGAAAAAAATATTTCCATTGCTGCTTTCTGTCTCAATTTTTTCACTCACTATCTTTGAAAAAGCCATATTTCCATATTCTGATATGGCTTGTTTACTTGGCCGAGTTGGTTTGTGGTAACCGACCACTTTAACAAAGGTCGGTTCGTACTTGGTGCGAAGGTAAATTTATGACATCAAGGCTAGTTTTCATGCTGCAGATGTGCCAACACTGAGCGTGAGTTCAACACTGATGGAATCTCACTCTGAGTATCTGTGATGTCAAGTTCCCTTCCTGTTAATGTGAAATATGAACCTGCCTTAAAGGCTCTATTACCTTAAAAATCCTTACTGACGAAAACTGCCCTAGCTTTCCTATGGGCGAAAGGTTCCATCCTTCGTTTGGCACCCAGACTTGTACTTGTATGTATCGGGAATATCCTGAGATTTAGCTTAGTTTGAATTCTCAGCATTTGTAACACTTCAATAAACTGTATACATGTAAGTATCCAAATCAACAATGGTGTCACTTGTCCAACACTTTCCTAATGGGTCATGGTGTCTCTTGTGAAAAATGTTACTAAACTGTGATGTGGCAATTAATTTTAGTTTGCTCAAGCATTGCATAATTTGGAATGACCAAGCATTCATTGCTTAAAAATGGCTGTTTCATCTTTTGGCGACAAAGGAATGTTCCATCCCACAAGGCAAATGGAATGTTCCATGCCACAAGAATGGAATGTTCCATTCCTCACGGCAAATGGAATGTTCCATTCCACAAGGCAAATGGAATGTTCCATTCAACGTGGCAAATGAAATGTTCCACCTATATGTATAACCATATGGGGACTCCTGCCTCTGCACTCAATACTCGTCATCTGCATATGAGTGAAAGAACCACGTCTAAAATAATATGAAATGTTTATCTTGAAAAGGTGTCCCTTATACAATATTTTTATAGCAAACGGAACACTGCCAGGATTTGAAACATTATATAAATGTCTGACGATACAATGGAAGAAGAGTTTATTTACAAATCTGCAGAGGATTTACTCTCTATCATGAGAAGGGATCCTTGATTCGTCGGAAAACGGCTGGAAACTTGTCACCGTGGTTACGAGTGACCTTTTGACCTTCCTCAGTGCACTGTCCCAGCAGCTCTACGATTGGGTCCTCAGCCTGTTTGAAAACGAGAATTTGTCATTCTCTTTCAATTGTTCTGATTAATTTTTGACATTTTCCATTAACAGACAGTTAGTTTGAAGTGTAGAGAAAAAAAAACATGCTAGAGGAAAAAATACCAAAGCGCCATGACAGAAAATGATTCCGGTTATAAACGAAAATGAATTTTACCTAGTGGTGTACCCAGGCTCCTCTCACAGGAGGGGATCGGAACTCCCCCAGCCCCAACCCCTGGCTGGGTTACTCAGTTTGTATAATGGACAGCTCTTTCAACAAATATGTCCACATTACAATGACGCATGAACACACTAAAGATGGCATAGAGAGATCCCCACCCCCCATTTTCCAGTGGGGGAGGCAAAAGCCCCACCTTTCCCCCGCCCACTTTGCCAGTGAGTCGTCTTTACCTGCTCCTGGTCAGTGATCCTTTCAAAGAGTGGGTGTTCATTTAGATGCATGCACATCCACTGGTGTAGTTCCTTCACGTCTGTTATCGTGTATAGAAGGCCCTACAACCGACAGAAATACTCAACTTTAATGTCAAGTCACGAACTCAAAGTGACATCACAAGCCACTTGGCATCTTTGTCATGACCGTTTGAATAATTTGTGACTTTAAATGAGACTACATGTACATGTTTATGAATTGTGCCTGACTTGTGATGGACTGGAAAGTATTTACAGAGCAGCAAATTACTAGTAAAGACAAGGCACTTACAAAGAAAAAATACAGAAGACAAAAGAGAGTCAATCAGGTTCGATCTGGGGAACAAATGTTGCTTGAGAACAGATTTAAATGATATTATCTACACAAGACTTCATGATGTCAGGTATTCTACATTTACTTATGATGTGCGTGAACTGTATGCTGTAACACAGAACACATCCCATAAAAGACCTGCAACAAAAGGGAGGCACACCAACGTGTGTATGTCTCCCTTTGTACCACTCTTTTGTGGGATGTGCTCTGTGCTAATTACATGTTCTGATTTTGGCTTTATCTGATGGAAACCCACCCCTTCTTTCATGATATAGGCGTACTCAGCAAGCAGCGTCTGGTTAACAATCCGCCATTTGTGTTTTGTCTTCTTGAAATGCGGGTCCGGGAAGAGAATAAACATCTTAGAAATCTGAAACATAACGAAAAACAAGCAGCTTGCTAAAATGGACAGCTGAATATGGAATCAGAAATAAAGGTGTGAAGATACTGTGCAGATGAACATTTGATATTTTATCTCCAATACTCAGTCGAGAGTGGATTTTAGCATTTTCATAATGTTAGCATGAGTGGGTTAAGCACGCAACATTTCAATCAGTATGCTTGGATCATCTTCATCGGAAGACCATCACTCCTGGAGGTGATCACACCACAGCAATTGAAACGTCGGTATTGTTATTGGCACTGAAATATCATGAGGACGTAATAACATTTTTATAAAATCTGATTTACTTTTCTCTGAAAACCCCAATTCTCCTGAGAGAGGTCACCCTCCCAAAAAATACTTGCAGGTGTGAACGATAAATGGATACCCAATGCGATATGTGGCAAAGGGAGACACCCCCCCCAATGTGATGCACAAGCTCCTGGTATATACCCAAAAGCTATTGTGCCTACTTCATCCCCTCAAAAAAAGGAATTCCAAAGATTCCATCATCACAAAAGAAGAGGGATGTCCCCTTGAGCCACACATTGTGCACCAAATGTATAAATGACTCGATAAAACAAGTGCTGCAGGGGGGGCGGGTTAGCGTAGCGGTTCTTTCCTCGCTTTGCACCAATGAGGCCCGGGTTCGAGTCCCGTCTTGGCTCAGGCTTTAAGTGCATTTGGTTTCCAGTCCATACTCACTCTCGCAGGTTTTCTCCGGGTACTCCGGTTTCCTCCTGCCTCTAAAACTGGACCTTCTTCCTAACTCCGTAATGTGATGCTGATTATTTGCAGGGACTTGCAGGGACTAGAAAGGACTTACAGGGACTTACAGGGACTAGCAAGGACTTACAGGGACTTGCAGGGATTTACAGGGACTAGCAAGGACTTGCAGGGACTTGCAGGGACTAGAAAGGACTTACAGGGACTTACAGGGACTAGCAAGGACTTGCAGGGACTTACACGGACTAACAAGGACTTACAGGGACTAGCAAGGACTTACAAGGACTTGCAGGGACTAGCAAGGACTTACAGGGACTTACAGGGACTAGCAAGGACTTACAGGGACTTGCAGGGACTTGCAGGGACTTACAGGGACTAGCAAGGACTTGCAGGGACTTGCAGGGACTTGCAGGGACTAGAAAGGACTTACAGGGACTTACAGGGACTAGCAAGGACTTGCAGGGACTTGCAGGGATTTACAGGGACTAGCAAGGACTTACAGGGACTAGCAAGGACTTGCAGGGACTTACACGGACTAACAAGGACTTACAGGGACTAGCAAGGACTTACAAGGACTTGCAGGGACTAGCAAGGACTTGCAGGGACTTGTGATGGACTCGACTACAACACTGTATGTCAATTTATTAAGACACTTGGGCTCACAATGAGCACTTTCCATATGCCTTCAAAGCTTCACAAAGATGAAGCTTGTCCGATGAAGACGAAGGGTGTTACACAGCAAGATCCAGGAATGATCACCAACTTTTGGCCCTGAGATGGTCTAAAAAAACCTCAAAACAGCTCTACCTAACCATGCTGAACCCAACGATATCCAATAACGGTCACTTTCTGTTGGATATTGTTGTTGCAAACCAAACGGTGAGCAAAAGTCTTTTCATTCTACCCTTTGGATTCTGCCAGATTCAGGAGGCATTAAACTTTTCTGTTGTTGCATTCTGTTGGACTCAGGGTGTTCGGATTAATTGGGTTACGTACCTAATGCTAGAGACAGAAATGCTTTCTTTTATCGATGCTCTATTCCACTTAAATACCTGTCCCTTCCGAAAGAAGTTGGGCAGGTGCTTCATGGCGTTCCCCCGCAGGCAGGCGATGTTCTGGTAGGCCCCCTCCTGGTTCTGCCGGAGCGCTTTGATGCGATCCTGGACGTAGTCTGACACCTTCATGCGGATCTCCATGCCCAGCATCAGCGTACGGGGAAACATCGGCGACAAGGATACTGCAACAAATAATCAAAAATGACACACCGGACGGATGAGCACCTGAAGGAAAATAAGGATGTGTGACCCACAGTGCGTCCCAACAAATTCACCCCTGAACAGAGCTGCGGGGGAGGGGGGAGATTTGCCCCACCCCCCCCTTGGCAGTTTGTCCTGATATCACTCCAGTGATTTTTCACATACTGAGCCATCCGGGGTTCTTTCAGTACCTTCTTGAAATCAATTTTACACCAATTTTGTGGAAATGGGAGGCACTGTTCTCACCCGGTGCCAATTTTTCCCAGACAAGTCAGGCAAACATGTATGTTTTTCCACTGGCATGCCCAACGCAGTACATGCTCAAAACCTGGACTAGAATGTAGTTTTCTTTTTTATACATTTACATGTATAGTTCCAATGGTGTACAGTAACACCGGTACATAAAAATGAAAGTTTGTTGGTCAATATCCGTTAGTTTCCACCTGCCTTTTTAACTACTTTTTTAACTGCCTTTTGAGCTGAAGTATAGGAAAGTTAAGTCTTAAACTTGTCCAATTCGTAAACAGAACCTTTCTTACCCAGAAGGCCGCCATATCCACATCCAACGTCCAAGAATTCCACCTGGGCCAGGGGCTGGCTGTCCCCATTAGACTTGTCCCCCTCTGGTTCTGACTGGGAAAAGAAAGCTGGGTAGAGGTCACTCCAGTCCATGCTATCTGGGTGGACAGGGCTGCAAGAAAGCATCCAATTATAATGAACTGGTCCACCAATACAGGTATTTAAACAGACTTGTTGCCTTGAGTCAAGCAACTTGGACTCGAGACCAACTCAAGTTGCTCTCTTGTGGCTTGTGACTTGACTGGTAATTACCAGCTTTGACTTGTAAATTTTACATTTGTACATAACCTGGAGAACTTTGCAAACCATGACCTGCAACTTGACTTGGACTTCAGAAAATGCATTGTTACCAAATTTAGAGGCTACCGGTACTGTACTCAAGCAACCCCGTCAGCTTCTTAATTAGGCCTATCAATTCATGCCTTGCTTGCATTAGAACACATCAGCCTTTGTATGACTCCTATCTTTGCCTTCTGACTTGCTGACGTGTGGGAACAACTATGCAACTTGACTCGCACCTCAACCAAATGACTTGTGACTTGACTTGACCTGTGACCAAATGACTTGTGACTCGACTTGACACTTGACATGACCTGTGACCAAATGACTTGTGACTTGACGTGACCTGTGACCAAATGACTTGTGACTCGACTTGACCTGTGACCAAAATGACTTGTGACTCGACTTGAGACTTGACACAGATATATGCACATGTAAACCAATTGGTCATGTAGACATGCAGTCTGATATTGTTAGCAATTTTGAGGTCCGGCGGCCACCGTGGTGACATGATTAAAACAGGTCCAAGAATTCCTCCCATTTCTGAAATTACCCTAAACTAGCCATAATTTTCTGGACCTATACCTCCCACAAGATTTATCCCATCCTCAGTCAAGAAAATATCTGGGTACACCACTAGTCAATCAAGAAACTCCGAGCCACCATATTCAATTCGATTCAATTACATTACATTCCATTACATTAATTAAATACAGTATAATCCTACTCTTGGCAAAATACATGTACACTATAAATATAAATAAGTACTGACAATGTATAAGATAACAGGCCACTAGAGGGGGCTAAACCTTAAAGGCAAAGCTTGTGTCAGGCATCCATTACGAAAAACAAACATGACAAAAGAAACAACAAAATACAAACAGGGAAAACATTACTGAGTGAGCATCAAATGAAATGATGCGTTGTGACATAAGACATGCTGATGTAAGCCTTGCAGTCCTGCAAGTACAGTACCGGTACATGTACATGTTGACTATATTTGTACATGGGCACTCTATGAACTCTCAATTTACTTTGCAGCCATTTTAAATCATTCCCAACAGGAAAAACAACAATTTTTTTTCTGAAATATATGTCCAATAACATGTTTGAAAATACTGTGCAGGTTACCATGACATTTATGGTGGCTGTCTCAGTGGTATGTGGGCGGTGGATGGAAATCTGGGATAATCATTCCTATGGCTTTACTTATACATGTATTTTGCATCCCGCATGTCAATCACAAAGTCATGGCAGTATGGAAATAAAATCTGAAAAGAAAAATGCACCAGACCCAAAAATGAGGTCTGAAAAAAATGTTGCTTGTACAGCAGAAGTCTTCTACTTGGCTATTGGCAGCCTAATGTCTGAACCGTACCCCAGCCCGATATGCCCGAATATTGTCATGATGATATAGTACATGATGTATAATATGTTATGGTTTAGGCCCCATCATCAGATCATATATATGGATCTGTGGATGGCATACGCAACTCGGAAAATTAGCCGATCAAGAACTGAAGTAGGACATCTACAAATCCCATGAGTTGTGTCATATGCCGCTTTGTTTAAATTAAACCCCGGTATCTACTTACTACTCGAAGGAGTGGTCTGAATGTGGGTTAGAATGCGCACGTTGTCTGTAAAACTTCTTTTGCGGCATGGGCGCAGCCATCTTGTATGTTGCCATTATCAATAAAAAGTATCGACTGAGGGCGCTATAGCAGGAGAGGTCGCCCTGATGGAGTTGCCATAACAAGTGTCGGTTGAATATTAATTATTATTCTGAAAACGGGCCCACTTTGCCGGGGAAAAAATGCGTTATTTATCACTACCATCAACAACACGTTTAACCACTGGACCTCCTCCACCACAGTTTGTCCCTCAAATGGTGCCGATGTCATGATTTGGGGGGGGGGGGCAGTTCTGTTGAACCCTGCGGCTGGTGGCGTAATCCGCCCCTCAACACTTTTTTCGTTATTTTGACACCATTTTGTGAAAACCAAATTTAAACCTACCGTTCTCGCACACGGTGCCCACTTTTCATATAAGAAAATGGCAGTCAAAACTATACACACCTGCCACTGCTTTGAGCACACAGGCTGGTAGTAGCATGCACATCTTTGAAATTCAAAACTATGCTTGTATGTCAGATTTTGCACTGATTAATTAAGAGCGTTTTACGCGCATGCGAAGTTTTTTAAAATTGGGCACAGGTCACCCTTGTTCTTGGTGGGGGTAAATTCCAGCCCCCCCTTCCCGAGAGAATTGAAAATTACCCCCACTCAGAGTTAGTTAGAGTAATATTTAATTAAGGCATACAGTAAAATCATCAAAGGTTCAATTTTTCGAGACAAATGGATCATCCAAGTCATAAATGAAAGTCAATAATGATAATAATGCTGTTTATCGATACTCAATTAAATAAGTCGGGGGCGGAATCGGCCCCCGCAACTTTTTCCCGATATCTTCGCGGTGCGATTTTGTTCACTCAGGATCTGAGCGTTAAGCGCCCTCTGCGAGGGGTTAAAAAGTTTGAAGAGTAACTCTTTGCGGTCATTTTGACTCCAATTCTGTGAAAACTCAGTGAAACTGCTGTTCTGGCACAGTGCCATTTTTTTTAGAGACAGGTCAGCCCAAAATGTAGGCCTGCTCTCTTTCCACTGTGGTGCTCAATAAACGCAGGCTGGCACGAGTGAAGCCTTGAACTTGACCGTAACAACAAAACCACTTTAATTTTACCACTTTAACTCCTTTAATTGACTTTAAACTTCTCATTTGATAATGAGTGTCTTTACATGACTTCGAAGTTTCAACTAAGTTGCTTGAGGCACAACAGAGTGCTTCGGGAGCGGGATCCGCCCCCATCCCACCCGGCTGTGAGAGGGACCAAAATAATACGCCTCCGTATGGTTAAGAATCCATTCATCTTTTCTCTATATAATTTATGACTTATTTCAGGGAGATCGGTCATGGACGACATTCCAGATTGTTCACTACGCTTTTATCGTATGATTTTATTGGTGAGCAGAAAATCGATAAAGTCGGCTGTTTTTTACGAGGTTTCGGAAAAACGCCGTAAGAAATTTAAATTATTTTGCCATTTTCATTTCTTACGCTCTCACGTCTAATATAACTGACCCAGGGGCAATACGGTTTTTCATGACTCTATCGTTTTAATCGAAAGTTGGACAATGCAACAAATTTAAAACAGGCCAGTACCTGCTAATAAACAGTAATCACTATACTAAAAGAAACTACTACATCATTCTGTCAATTATTAACTTCGACTGCATTTTCATCATGGTTTAACTTTTACTGAGCTTTCATAATTTAAGAAAATGGACGATGATCCCTGTCAATTTCTATGAGCTCCGTAATAGAGATAGATCTAAGTCAGGTAATTATCTCCAATTCCAAGGTCAAAATCACAGTGAAATCAATTCTAATTACTCTACCAGGACCACCGGAAAACACCGCCTCAATCATAATGATTATACTGAGGCAACTCGATTAATTAACACGCAGAGTACAGCCAATGATCGTCTTGAAGAGCATTACTAAAGGCTAAACCCAAATCCTGCTTTTTTGTTAAATTAGATTATTGCTAAATAATTGCGGAGCCCACGACCATATTCCTCATCAGTGGATTTCATTAGCTCTTTCTTTATACTCTTTCCAGTAATTAATTTAGATTGTTTTTCAATTTTCAGAAACACGTCTTTAGTAAATAGAATAACCGAAACATCAGAGAATTACTCGTTTGACATAAGTTTCAAAGGTACTGTGGCTAAGATTTATAGTTACATTTGAAACTTCACGGTTACTGTTTAGGCTTACCATGTGTTACTGGTTAGGCCTATAGCTCAGTAAGTCTACCTAGATGGATCAACGCTGAATGTCCGTGCACTCCGTCGTAAGGTACATAACATACAGCTCTCTATCCAATATTGACGCAGCCCAGGGGAACGGTGACCACGGTTTTGCCAAAGAACTTGGCCGACAGCGCGATGCAGCCGTGGAACTGGTCGCCATTCACCTCGAGGTCCGAGAGCTTGACGCAGATCTTCATGAACGGAACATCAGGGATACTTGCACAAATAGCCGGTGGGTCGTGGACTGTACAGGCAAACAGAACGCGTCAAATTATGCCATTAACCATAACGTAAATACAAATACAGTAACATGTAATATGAAATCCCCATCTCGTGAAATTAATTTTTAATTTGCACCCAAATCGTCATGTTGCCCCCTATCGAGATTTGAATGTTATTACTAATTACGTCTCGCAAATTGGTCAAATGTTTAATGAAACTCGATCGGGACCGTCTTATGAAATCATCCTCTAATTTGCAAGGATATTTTTATGTAACTTCTGAAAATATTTGAATTATAAATATGGTTTTGCCACTTCTCCCAAGATTAAAATTGCAGAAGGTTTTTCATTTTTCTGGCAACAATCTTCTTCTTCTAATTACTGCAACAGCCTCCACTATGGGATATTTTAAGATGCAGGTGCATGATGGCTAACTGACTCTAACATGGTGGGTCCCCCTTAGGTCAATACTAGACAGTCTTGTTTTGAAGGTAGCAATATTTAAAGCTTCCCTTATTTAGGCCAGTAAATAATTTAATTCCACAGGGGTCCTGCGTATGAAGGAGAATTTATGGCAGTCTTTTTGGGCTGATTGATTTGAAAAGAAAATAGAAGATGTTTTCCTTGTTGTACCCCTCCTTTCAGATTTAACCCGGTAATGATCCGGATTCACTGAGACTTGATGATGGATGGATTTATTCAATAAAGCAAACATTGCCTCCCGAAGCCAAAATGTAATTTAGAAAGCACAAATGGATAGTACAATAATAAAGACACCAAATCTTCATTATGACTCGTTGCTAAGAATAGAAATATCACAAAATTCCTCAATTATTTCAACTGCGCACCTGAGACTGTTTGGTCGATGACGTCATGACCGAGGATGGTCAGCTTCAAGTGCACGCTTAAGTCTTCGAGACTGAACTCAACAAGCACACAGGCTGGAAAAAGAGAGAAAAATAAGTAAAATCGTTTTTGCTTGCTTGTTATTTCACCTCCTACGAGCAAAAAGAGGATTACACAAGCTGCAGGTAAGAGAGATAAGTGAAGAATAGTGAATCCTGCTCCAACAGAGGACACGACCACCCACAGGAGACAATTTCGTTATACACTGTACCTATGAAAATGAGAAAGAGCGATTGGGAGAGGGGGACCTAACTCCACTTATAACTGTAAAACGCTAGCATTTTTGCCCAACGTTGGGTACCAGGTGAATCGCGTAGCCTAATTAACTACTAGGCAAAAAGATCAAACGGCTGGGTAAAAGGTTGTATAGTACAAATAACATTTTCTAAAACCGTCGGATAAAATGAGACACTTTGCCCATATTTTAGGAGATGATCTACGCAGTTGGTGATGTTTGCCCCTCACTTAGATGATTCACCTGTTACCCAAAGTTGGGCCAAAGATTGTTCAACGTTTTTACAGTGCACATTGCTTCATCACTCCAAATAGGTCATGACAGTCACGAGGAATCTCTTACTTTTTGCTTCAGAAGGAACAATTCTGCCCCCCAATTTTTAAAAAACAATGGGCTCTTGGTCCACCCTTCCAAAGCCAACATCTGCCCATCCAATCTAAAGGATAGATCCAGGGGGGGGGATACAAGTCGTCAACGGGTGGTGGCCACGATATCATGAGTACGTGTACATGAGCACGATTCAAGTAACCTCTGTTCTTAATTAAGGCCTTACATATTTTGGAGCACATCACAGACCTCCATTACGTAGGTTATACCTTCCTTAACCCTAACAGTCCTCAGTCCTCAAACGAGTGAAGGATTGATGAGGAGTGTAAGGGTTAATGCTAAGTTTCCAGTACAGCTTGACAAAAAGTCTATATATATAGGCCCCACGGTTGGAAATCGTCACAGTAATTTTGGAAATCCCCATTTATACATGTCCCCTGAAACTTTTTCCCGTCCCTTATGTAGTCGCCAAACGTATTACAGATTTCCTACGAACGTAGGGTCCGGTAGCGGGTAATTGTACAATGAGGAAACGAATCCCGCTCGACGCACAAATTTAAGTACAGAAGCTGATAAAATATTTCGCCTTTTCTTCTTCGTTACCGAAAATAATTTAACCCAAAAATTGTCTATTTATCTAAAATTTAACGAAATAGGCCTAACCACTGATTTGAATTGAAATACCGTAAAATAGTTCATCGATGGTATTCATTGGAAAAAAATAAATTACCAAAGTGTGATCAACAGGGGACGAATAAGGACAGGAACTTGTGTATTATTCGCCTCAATCCTGGAATGCAAATTATGGCAAGCATTGCTACTGGCTTGACAACAACTTAAATATTCAGCTTCCAAACTGATATGACTAATCGCAGAGGTTAAACTTGAGTTAGACTTAGTTAAGTTAATCCTAAGAAGACAGGGAAGGGTTGAATCCCCACCCACGGTAATTTTCTACTTGTCACCATGCATTTCCTTTTTCGCATGAGGCCCGAAAGCTTATTTTTTCACACACATTTTTATGATAAATTGGACAAATGCCCTCGAAAAACGCCCAATTTTCGACTCAGGTCAGCCAGATTTGTTCTTTTACTTTTCCTGCTGACGTGCTCCATGCGTGCAGGCGTGTGAGGTCACTAACCCTGACAACGAAGTCCTGCGTCGGTTTAAGCTGAAACTTCCCAGATAATGCTCATTGTCACATTAATTGTACCTTTTGTGTGCAAAACGATTAAGCAAAGCACAATCGACATCTTACGGGAACAGAACCCCACCTGGAAAGGGCCCGGCTCTTTATATGTTGATCAAGTGATTAATTACCAATAAGGCTTTGCGTTCACATTACTTCCTTTACAACATTCTGTATTAAACAGACATTAGTTCATCCCAGAGCTCAATCAAAGGCACTGGGACGACCAGCCGCAATATTACTTACCATCCACGTCAAGCTTGCCAGCAAATTTCACTCTACCGCAACAGCGGGCTGACGTCGAGTCCGTTGTACAATCGCCAGACGCCTGACGACTGCCTAGGCCCTCTGCCGACAAAAATTGAAAGGCAATTCATTTTGATTCCTCGACAACGTGCCCGTGTAATTCAGTTAGCCATACTTTCAATCTTTGGTTATTTTTAAGATATTTCGGTGCCTTTTAAGGTTTTAAGTGCCTCGCTGTACAAAATGTAACGTGTTGTAGATAGTAATCTTGAAATAATTTTGCAGTGAAACGTATAAGATTAATCCTGAGTGTCACCAGGTGGCGCATTTCTGCCCAATGCCTTTCTTTCCCTCAAATAAGGGCGCCCATTGGTGTAGCATGTACCCAACGGAATTTTGGAAAAACCGAAAGTGGCAAAACTTTGAACACCTTTGCTTAGGTTACTTTTAAACAACTAAAGGGCATACGCGCCTTGCAATTCAGACATCACACCATAATCTCTTTGGTTGGATCCGAATATGTTCACTACAAAAAACCGAAGTCATCAGAGGAACATTCTAACATTTTTCACCAGTGTTAACATTTTTGGTGTTATTTCCAAACTGTTTGTATAACTTTCAGTACCCTCAAGTGCATTGTACCACTTGTAGGTGTATAAAGTAACACATTTTGTGCGGTCATCTGTTAACATAAAAACAATATACATATCTATGTAGTTTAACACCCGATTTTTTCGCAGTGTTGTTTAGAGCTAGGTCTAGTTCTCTGCTTCATTGGTAATATGCAGAGACGTACTGAAAATAGACGGAGCCTTATAGCCGTGAAACCTCGTATCGGACACGGTCTTGCGTTATGTCATGTTCTATATTTGTTAATTGAGGCTTATACACGTGAGGGGCATTGTTCGATCCGGGGGAACCAGACTAGACTTACGGTTGCTAAGCATCATCGTTGCCACCTCCCTGGTGCTCTTGGTTGAGAGATCCGCCTCCAACAGGTTCACCAACATCTCCTCCTCTTCCACGGTCAAAGTGTGCTCTTCGTTTGACACCTGAAATAAAAGAGAGCCGAACTTGAATGTTTTAGAATAGGCCGCATTCACTCGGAGCCATAGGTATGGCAGCTCGAGTTAAACTGTTACAAAAATTATGAGCCCATATTTTGGCTGTGGCAATCATACGTGCCTCTGAATGCACAATTTGTGCATAGGCTACCATTTGAAATTTTTTTGGGGTGGGGGGGGGCTAGATAGTGTGACTCAAATCCCGTCTTTAGAGATACCAGGACTTGCGCAGACAGATGGTTGCTACATTAATGGTTGCTAAGCCTACAGTTCAGATGTTTACGCTAAATATTATGCCCACTGTGCATGGAGTTAAGAACCTCGAAGGAAATAGTACATATTTTCAAACAGGATTTCTTCCAGTTGTCCAATGCCTTAGATACCCGGGCCCTAACCCGACCACAGCCAGACAAACGAGTTGCCAACGGCTGTTTTGCCAGTGTACATCGCCGATTGACTGTTATGGGGCATATCGTGAACACCAAAACGTAAGTATCTTTTGAAGTGATTCTGGTTCTGTAGAAAATACTGTACTGAACCTTTTCCTGCCGTAAAACTCTTACTTCTCAGGTAGTGTTTTATGGTTGTCATCGCTGTAGTGTGACTACCAGGGCTCTTTGTCTCTAAAGCGAACGGTCCACTTACCAATGCAGAAAACGCACCGGCCAATACGAAGCCGAAAACGGTGGCAAGCAATAGTACACGCATGGTGGAGTTGTCTACGACTCAGATGAAGGCTAGTGTAACGTACTTCAATGTTTCCTCCTCGGTTGTTGGGAGACAGACTTTTACTAAGATAGGTCTCAGCCGGGCCTTTATAAAGGTTTCAGTCTTTACAAAATGTTTAAGGGCCATTGGTTTCGGAAGATATATAAATTAATCGACTGTTCGGGGTTATTTATGAACCAAAAAGAAAACAACTTTTATTTTGATTGTGTCAACAACGGCACACGTTTTATTCACACTTCCTCGTTGACTGTGCGCAATCAGTTACCCGTGTCGGGATTTTACCAGTAAAATTGTTTCTTATTTCTTAACGTCAAAAGGTTGGCCACTCATGAAAGCTTACGTAAGCTGCCAGTTTTCGCTCTGGTGGTTACACGTGTTCATATGAGTTGTGAGTACACAATACACTTTCAGCGCAGTCGTTGAGAAAAGATAAATATGAACATGTCAATCAGAAGAGCTCTTGGATGTAGAAGTAAAAATTAATGAAGGAAATCCACGTAGTTTTATACCGGCGGTTCGTTTGTTTGTTGACCTTTGATTGTTTACTTGCCTGCTTGACGGCATAATGCTTAACCAAATGAAGGTAACATCGACAACGGACGCATTTTGCTTCGACGGTCCTCAAAATGCGTCATCGCTGATTCGTTTTTAACTATCTTTCACTGAAGTTGGAGCACCTATTAAAGAGCACCTCTGAGGAAAACATGTTTTCTCTGATTTCATCTGCTGAAATAAATATGAAAGCATTCCAATAGAACGAGCTGAATTGTAACAAGTCAAAAAGGTTTTTTTCTGTTCTGGTGCGGATTCTGAATATAGATTGTGTCATTGTGAGAAAACATTATTCACAAGTAGAAACATGTCACGAAAAATCCTGCCAAACGGAAAAATATCCCTTTTAAAATGTTGACTTCACTTCCAACTTCTGACTCCGTTTCTTTGGAGGTACGTGACTAAGACAGGGCAAACATTGGGCAGAAAATGGATTATTATAATTTATAAGGTAGCAAAAGGGACTTTGAGTGTTTAAATTTTAATCGGTATGGAAATGAGGGGCAAACAACTTTAGCTGAGCTTGATGCTCATCAATTACTTTTGGGATCCACCTGCTCGAGTCAGGAACCATTTTACTGGCTTCTGGCTTTAGTGGGATTCAGTACGCGTGCGCCCCAACTAAATGAGGGGCATGAACATACGTGACATGTCAGTGCGGATTCTACGCGCATTAATATCAACTGCTGAGTGACATTTATTGAAAGTCAAGGCAAAAATTGCAATGAACGTGGATGCAGATGGGCGCTCACGTCCCAAGCGTTGTGCACCGCAGTCACCCGATTATCTTGCCTTGCTCAAACCGTTTATTGATGGACCCTTTTAGTGTTGACAGGAATGAACTGGACAAGATGGGCACAACACCGCTGTGAGTGCATCATTCATTGATTAAAGGACTGCCGCTAATGTTGTCCTTTCCAACACAGTCACTTTCAGTTGAAAAGGCCCATCACTACTTCCATTGCTGGTTTTTCTTGTCGCTGCGCACATAGGCAACTCAAATTTAGTCTGCACTCTGCTTTTGTTAATTAAGCAATCAGTCTCTCGAAGTCTCAAGATACTGTTTGCTGTCGGCCTGCAAAAGGCAACAGTTGCTTCAGTCAAAAGACCGGAGAATAAAAAGGATGTATTCAGTGTCATGCTTTACTTTGGAGATTTAACAATGTTAATTAAACTTGCGTGTGTGTTTCTTCCAAGTGAGATGCAATACCACTGCAGATCAGAATGCCACATGAGAAGCAAAAGCCATAGCATTTATTTCTTTTCAGTTCATATTTTTTGTCATATAATTTTAGTTGGTGTTTTTTTTAAACAATGGTTGGGTAAGACTTGAAGTTTTGCAGGGTGGGGATAAACTAAAGAGAGGACTCGCACCATTTGGATAGATTTCTTTCGGACGAGCTATGGTTCTGATAAGAACCGGTGAGTGTACTCAGCAACACACTGTACGCATTACAATTATTCCATACACTCGTTAACTAGGTTATTTTTTAATAAGTTCAATGCAGTTTATTGTGAAAATGCAGCAAAATATCATCCTTACGTGTGAAGTTGCACGTCCGTTGGATTTCTGTTAAATAAAATACTCACCCATGCCTTTCACTCGTGAACGGAACAAATTATTAATGACTGATGGATGAAATAGAATATTTCATTTCATCCGGAAACCAATCTAGCAGAGTTGCAAGGCCCGTTGTCAATGATAATACCGCTCCTTTGTGTTGTTGGTCACGACACGCTCTTCATTTGGGTCAAAAAGGAGAAAGAGAGAGATAGCCGACTTTTAAACTGGGTTTTTAAACCATGCCGCATTCGCTCAGAGCCGCAGGTATGGAAGATGAAATTAATCGTCATTAATGATGGGCGGTGTTATTGCTGCTTTGATTACGTGCCTCGTGCCTCGGATTGCGCATTCGGTGCATCTCCATTTCGAGCATTGTCCAGGGATGGGTAAGGCTCTCCACACCCCGTCTGTCGGGACACCAGAACTTGCGCAATACTCCGGTTGCGACATCAATGGCCTACTGGCATGAGTGTCGTGTTGCCAAGTAGGGACCAAGCCTTAAATATTCACGCTACATAACCGGCGCCAGCATTCCTTCATTTTTGTGGAGTTAAGAAATCTCTGATTTTTTTTTCGAACTGGAATCACAATTCAAGGTTGGATTCTTATTGATGCACTTTTTTCGATAGTTGTTCCGGCCCTCTTCCTTTTGCTTCATATGCCACTATAACCCAATCACAGGCGACAAGTTGTCAGCCTATTTCGCCGAGCAAAAGTGACGAGATACATATTGCACCAAGACGTAAGTTTTTTATGAAGCAATCCTAGCTGCATTTTCACGCAGAAATGTTGTACTGAATCTTCTTCTCCAGTTAACCTTTATTTTTCCTCACGTTCTACTCGAGGCTAAGGTAATGTCTTGTAGATGCCGTGCCGTGCAAAAAGACGGGGCGAAAACACTTGCTTTTATAGTCTCTAAAACAAACGGTCTGCTTACCAAAGCAGAGATTTTATGAACTGTATGAACTGAACAGCAGGTGTAACCATGGCGGACTTGTCTCTGATAAGATGGACGCTCGCGAAGGGGGTTAAAAGATAGAAAGTTAAGAAAAACGGCGTTTATATTAAAAACCAGGAAAACTGACGATCGGCCACTCTGGCAGGGCAGTTAGTCAGAGGGAACACGTATCAAATTTAATGATGAAAAATGTAAATTAAAACAATTTAAACGTATAAATCTTATTTGAGTATGAGCAGATGGGCAAATGACATTTTGTATGAATGTTCCGTCTGTTTTTGTTGATTGTGAAATATGTTCTTTTAGGTTGTAGCTGCAATGGAGTTTTCTTGGACGCAATTTTTCCTCAGCTTTGCATACTTCTTCAATGTATAAAACTCTCTTAATTCCCTATTTGGTTTAAATGCATTGAAAAGCGAAAGCTTTTCGACGAGTAAAATAAATTATCCATGCTCTCGCATACAGCAAAAGTCATCTAGGGAAGACATGGCTCAGTGAATAGGTGTTTCTGCTCAAAATGTAAACCCAGAATTTACATACTGAAAACATTTCTGAGAAAGAGATTGATTCTTGCTAATTGCTGTAAACAACAGCAGAGAGAGAGAGAGAGAGAGAGAGAGAGAGAGAGAGAGAGAGAGAGAGAGAGAAACTGAGTCTAGTAAATCTATGAATATGCAGGACTTCTTTGTGTACAAGCCAATGCTGCATTCAGGCTTCTTCTTAGATATGGAAATAAATGGATTGGAAATGAAATACCCATTGGCATAAGAACCCAAAAGGTGGTTAAATATCTTTTAAATTAAATAGTGAAACAGAAGTTGAGAATAAGGGTAACTGAGATACAAAGGTTAATTTCGGAGGTTTGTACTCGAAAAACATTGATTGCAGCTCCCCTCTAAGGCGACATAAGTGCTCAAAATGGAAAGAGTGATACCTAATAGCTAAACCTACACACGTTTTGGCTCCGTGAATGGCGTAAACAGGGGTATATATCCCCTCCACTTTTTGAGGTAGGGGTTAGGCTATTGAATCACCCCCCAACCAATTTTGTGTTGAGCAAAAATCATTAAAGTGGATTGTGAAAAACCTTCCAGACTTTCAAGGTTAAAACGTATTCATTATCATCCAAAGGAAAACATTTTGTAAAAGCTAGAACTATGTCATTCTGAATACATATTAAAGATTACATCAATATCAGGGACATCAACCTTTATATATAGTCATATGGTGCCACCCATTGCTTTACAAATTTTCATGGCCAGGCAAGTAACGCCCCCCCCCCCCGTTTCCCACAGGAATTTTCTGGCACAAATTTACGCCACTGCCACCGTGAGTAGTGTATTTTCTGAATCAAGATTTGCATTTTTGAATCTTGATGTCAACCCGAAGGTTGGCGAGGCACGTTTGAAACAGCGCCCGAATTCCGCTCCCCGAGCCCGTATTGCTCTGGGCCCAATTCAAAATGAATTTGAGGCAACTTTCCAAAAATGCGTCTTTAGGTGCATCGTTGGAAAAGGCCTTCTTTTGTAGTTTTCTTTAAAAATACTGCTGGTTATGACCTCACAGGGAGTTTAGTCCTGTAACTATCTTACGCCATTTATGCTTCTCAGCAACATTTTTCATCATTTTTTTTTGATGGCTGCAAATGATGAAGCGTACCTTTAAACTACATTGGCATTGATCATAAAAATGTATGGCACTTGAGCTTAACGTTGGCTAAAGCAACGCTAACAAAAACAAAACAAAAACAAAAGCTTGTACATCGTTTAATGTGGTACATTAGTCAATGATACCTTTCCAAATTATCAAAGGTTGACAAACTATCTGTCAAGAAGTATTTTGTGGACATCCAACAGCGAAGGGAGAAAACGGCGATTTCCCACCCGAACTAAACCATGGTGCATTTGTTTTATCACATCTCATAAAACACTCGCTGTGACAAATCCAGCCATCAGAAAAGCGGTCCAGCAACATTTATCGTGAAGCATTGCAGCCAGGGCGATTAGCGTGCGTGTATGTTTCACCAGGAAAACGGGTCTACTCCAGATTAATATTAAACTATTCATCAGAGTTGCCCGAGGTAAGCTGCGTGATGGTTGACCTATTTGCATGCATGCTGGCCTTTGTGTTGATCTTGGCGGTGCGCATTAATTTCGTACATCTTGTATATGTCATATTCATTTGTTCATGGTTAAAAAAAAGAGCCGTCACCAAGTAATGGATGACTCGAACAAAGCACTGACTGTTTTTACTGCCTCCAGATGTTGATTGATCATCTTTCAAGCTTCGTTGCCCATCCACGTCAGCCTATAGGTGCACTTCCACCAAATATCACCAGAATCGGGCGATAGAGAAATAAATAAATAAAAGGGGTCGGTCCAATTCACATTATGGAGTCATCCAGTCGCCTTCCCTCAGGTACCTCAATAAGTATGTCAACATTCATTAAGCTTTACATTGATGACTAGATTAAGCCGCAGTCATTAACGCAATGTGGGTATCACCGAAAAAGTCATTTCTTTGCAGTCATTAACGCAATGTGGGTATCACCGAAAAAGTCATTTCTCTGTTAGTACCATGATTTTTTTGTTCTACACGTTATTGTTTATATTATGAGCAACAGGGCGGGCCTTAGTTATTTCTGAGAACCGGTACATTTTACAGCTGATCGGGGCATTACAGCAGAGTTGAGGATGATGGTCAATACTTTTGGCCCAGCCAATCACTAACAGCCATTTATTCTCAACCAGATGTTCCTTGCATGATGGCAATCCGCGCAACTCCTCGGCGTGTTATTTGGCATAGATGAAGGTCGCGTGAGCTCCGCTGTGATACAGTCAAGACGAGTAAAACAACCCACAAGAATACGCACTGCTGGGCAAACCACGTCGTTTTCACGTTGGAAAGGGGTGAGTCGTGAATTATACTGAGGTATTGTTCCTTCGGAATCGAATAATTTATTGCTTGAAGTAATGCACCAAAGCTTTGATTGACAAGACTGCATTTCTCCTTAACATTATGAGCCTCCATGGCAAGCCATGAGAGGCGCACACCATTTCTACCACGGAATTCCCATCCGTTAGGTGGTAATATTAATTTAACGTGCAAGAATTCTTCAATAGTTGGAAACTCTCTTATTTATTTTTAGTCTTCTGGGCCGTTGTAAAAAGGTCACGCCCAGAGAGTTATGTGAGAAAGTCATATTCCGCACGTACATGAAGCGTATACATGTACGTAGCCGTCGTTAAGAACGAGGAAAGTTTGAAGATCGAGACATACAAGGACAGTTGGGTTAAAGGTTGCGCATCGATATCAAGATCTGTTTTTGTTTGTTTGTTTGTTGGGGTGTTTGTTGGGGTGTTTGTTTGTTTGTTTGTTTGTTGGGTTGTTTGTTTGTTTGTTTGTTTGTTTGTTTGTTTTTTGAAAAGAAAATTTGAAATTCTTCAGTGCAACTTGTAGGCTAACAATGTGTGAATGGGAAAGGCGCTTCGTTACTAATTGTTCTCCCAAGCATGTGTACTTACGGAGGGAGATGTGCTGGAAATAGTTGTTTTGTTTTAGATAATTACGCCAGAAATGACAACATGGAGCCGTACACTTCCAAGGGAATCGAGATGTTTTTTTGGGAATTTTTGTGGGTGCAATGAGCAAGAACCTGAACGATGTATATAACACATTTCATATTGGTGAACATATGCGCTTAATGTTAATTGAAAGAGTGTTTGTCACCCGAAAGGAACCGTGTAACTCATGTAGCCACGTCAGAAGGTTGTCCTTCTTAGCAAACAACAACTGATGATTTTAAAAGTAAAGTAATTCAAACACAGAAAATTTTACCATCAATGCTTCAAGGCAAGAGTGAAAGGGCGGACCGATGAAACATTAGTTTTTATTATTCCGAAATTTTGGTATGCTCTAAAAATGTTGAGCTTTTTTGTATAATCACAAAATTTTGTTCTTTTTGCTGTCGTTTATGTTGGACTTGTTCTTGTTCTTCTTGCTCGCTTTGGCTGTCGTTCTTCCGTTCTCTAATTCTTCATGCCGTTATTATTGTTACTGTTGGTCTTGCTCTAAAAGTCAGAGGAAATATATTTTACTTTGGTTATTATTTTTTTAAATTTCTTTTAATTTTTCCCCATTATTTTTCGCGGATTATTTTATCATCGTAATTTCCTTGTGTTTTGTAGCTTTTCTTCTTCTGCTTCTTTTTGTTCTCGTCGTTTGTGCCGCTGCATGGTCGTCGTTTTTTGCGATTTTTTCCTTCTGTCTGCTGATGGTCTTATGCTCATGGTTCACATCGTTCCTATTTTGGCCTCGATGGTCCCATATTCAGTTGTTGGTGAAACGTGGCAAAGTGCGGGAACAATACGTGACAGCATTTGCGTGAATTTGAAAGAACCTTGGGTTTTGCTTTAATACTAGTAGATAAAGGGCCACGACAGTTTTCAGCATGTTCAAAACCGTCGTGGCATAGCCGCGATTCTTCACAACGTGTGAAGGTCCTAGTTAATCTTAATTCGATTTGGTCACTGTATAAATTGCATGTAACGTCCCTGCTCGAGTTTCACCGAAGAGTAACAGTCAGTAGGGAGGTGTATTCGGGTCCTGTGTTCGCGACACATCATGATCAGTACGTCTGCGGTTAATCGGGGTACATGTACATGGTAGGTAGAAGCGTAGTTATAGACTTTATGATTACCTGCTTGAAATCCTGTAGGAAAAAGATTGTAGTTGGTCTGCTTTTTTGTTTTGGATAATTTTGTTCAGGTATTTTCTTTGAAATTTTCCCTTTATATTTTGTTATTCCTACTGTTTTTAGCTTTAGTTTCTTGATGTTTTTGATCTTGTTAATCTTGCTCGTGTCGCTCCTGTCGTCGTGTTTCTCTCTTGTAAAGTCATTGAAAGTTTAATTTAAAGTTAACCATCAACCATTCAAGACAATCTGTGCGAGGACAGACCAACGAAATTTCAGTCTTTGTCTATCAGAAATTGTTGCATGCCGTATGAAATTTTGAGCCGTTTTTGTTTCTCAATCACAAATGTTTGTTCTGTTTTCGTTGACTTCGTTGTTTTGTTCTTGTTATTACTGTTGTTTGTTTGTTTATGTTGAACTTGTTCTCGCACTTCTTGCTCTGTTGCTCACCGTTGTTCTCTCGTTGTCTTATTGTTCATGCCATTATTATTGACGCTGTTGGTCTTGTTCTTGGAAGCCCGAAGGACTAGATGTTACTTCGGTTAAATTCATGAGTTTGGGGGGAATTTTTCAAAGATTTTTTATTATCCTAAAACGTTTGTTTGTTGTTGGTTTCCTTGCTCTTGTTGTCCTTCACGTTCTCGTCGTTCTTGAGGCCGCGTGGTCGTCTCATTCCTATTTTGGCCTCGATTTCTTTGTACAGCGTGGCTGAACGCGGACACAATGCATGGCAGTATCTGCGTGAATCTGAAAGAACCGCAGATGGTCTTTGTCGGTCGATATTAAGGGCCACGGCAAGTTTGAACATTTCCCAAACCATCGCAGTGTAGCCGTAGTTTTTTGAAACGTGTGACTCTCTTAGTTAACCTTTATTTCGTATGGTTTATTCTTAGGATCTTCGTACAGGGCGTATCAAAAGAAAGGAAACCCAAATTCAACTGTAATTTAAAGGAAAAGTGCAGATTTCATTAAGCATTATACATGTTTGTCACTAGAAAGGTCTGGATGTCATCTTTCCAATGACACCTTGATCGTGTGCTCTCTGTCACGGTTGAACGAGTAACAATGCATTTTTAACAAGCAGTAAATCTGCACTTTGAAGTTACCATACACACACATTCAAAAGCACTTGTTTGTGTTGGCCTAAGCAGATGGGATTTCAAGCTATTCATGGTGACAGACAACTAAGATGGAAAGCTTGACCTGACGACGGACAGAGCACACTGTCCGAAACGTTGAGCCTCTCCGGTTCTTATCAGAACCACACAGACTCAAAAAAAGAAATACTGCAAGGTGTTTACTGCAAGCTTTCCATCTTAGTTGGCCTAAGCACATACACATGTGTCACAATAATTTCCACGTTAGCATCATCTTCTATACAGTGTGTGCTAACATTTTACAATGCAAATTAATCAAGAAATTCATAGTTTTTCTATAAATTATAGTTGAATATGACATCCCTCATTTGATACGCCCTGTATAAACATTTGTGACCTTCGGTTGAAAACGTTACCTGTTCTGTTTTGTGACTACGTAGTACGAATAGATGTCTGTACTTCGTTGTAACACATGCCTGTAGGCCTATATACACGAATATAATGAATCGATTCTTAACCCTAACTCCCTAGGGCGTGTGCAAAATCATATTAAAATTGGAGGATTTAGGACTGTTAGGGTTAATACAGTCAAGAGTAAAAACTGAATAATCATCTATTACTATGGAGTATTTTGAATCTGGTGGAGCAGAGGCATACTATATTGTACTAGATCGCAGCACATCTTTGTGCAACCATAATTGACCTGCTCCATAAGTCGTGCAACATGTCTTTGGTATCCATAGTTTCACCGACGAATAACCGTCCGTAACCGCAGGGAGGTGCCTTCAGGGCCCTGTTTCGCAACATATCATGATCATAACATCCACGGTTAATCGGGAGCCGTAGCGTGATAGTGTTGGCTAGGTTTTTGGATTCTCTTCTTCAAACCCTGGGAATATTTACTGTTTTTTTGTATTAAATTTCCTGTTTCGTTTTCCATAACTTTATTTCATGTATTCTGTTTTCAATTATCCCTAACTTTTTTGGTTTTTCCTTTGTTTTAGTTCTAATTGTCATTTTTCCAACTTGTTAATCTTACCTGTCATCGTCTTTGTTTGTTTGATTTTGTTTCTTTTTTCCCTCTATGCTCTTAATCTTTTAAATTCTGCTTTGATCAAATCCATGCTGTTGTCAGCTAGAGTTTTTCTCTAGAGTGATTAAATCATTTGTTCCTGGGAGTAGATATTCCCCCGTTGTGTAAGCAGCCAATTCATTATGTCTCCGGCAAGACAACACATGACTGCTTATTTCCGTTATTCCTGATAAATTGCACTGTAATACCCATGATATTAGTATTTACATTACGCAGTCGCCTCAGGGCATATTTCCTGATATAAATACATTACTTGGACAACAATTTCTACGGTTACCTTCTGTCAGTGATGCATGCAATTCTGCCATCTCATTGTAAATTCACAATTCCCAGAGGGTGGCGCGTATGTGTTGCTTCAAACTTCAAACGAACACACGAGAACGTGAGAACACACGCGTCAACTTACAAAAAGGAAAGAAATTATTTATGATCGCCATTCGCCAACTGGTCTCTGGCATTTATTCAAAGAATGAACTGAGTCATTTAGCTATTTACAAATTGTCATTATGGATTCAACAGAACGTCAATTTAACAACAGTAAGTAATTGCAACTAATTTAATTCAATACATGTAATTCCTTGGCTGTATCACACACTCATATCAATGTTTTAGTCAAGTGAATCAAGGACATGCCATCCTCAACGACTTTTAACCAGTCCTCATAAGACCCAGTTCTGCACCCAACATTTATACAGCATAACCTACTACATTAAACAATTATAAAAGTAACGAAAATGCTCAGGCACAGCTCACAGGGATACGGGCTACACAAATGCATGTAAATAGATAAATTTCCGACACCCACCAGTATGTGTACATGTACTTTGGCAACAGAAGTCACGTTTCATTGTGATATGGCAGAACAGAAATAACCAATAGGGCAAGTTGCCTGTACGAGCAAGTACACGTTGTTGTTTTGTCTTAATGGCGCTTTCAGCAACTCAGGATATTTGCGCCAATACCTGTACGTTTATTCACACACTTTATTAATCAGCATCCTCAACATGTAAGGGTGGGGGCCAGTTTTATACCAAGTGCCTGGTACGTACCTTGCCACTGGCAAGAATGTGAGGGAGCATCCCTCCCTTTATAACAATGCAAGGTAAGTAATTATAATGTGAATAATCCCACTAGGCAGGAGTCACTCCACCCTAACCCACTGCCGTCCATTTCAGCATATGCAGCAAGGTATGAGACGNTGTATAGGGATTGGACATAGAAGAGATAAACATAATCACTGCGGTGGATGGGATTGGACATGAGCCTGGCCAACAATAAAATTAGCAAGTGCTGGTGAGTTAAATTCCTGGTGTGCACAGTGAAGTGAGCTACGAGTTGGCATAACAATTAAAGGAATTTGGAAGAGACGACAGTAGTTTTCGTTACAATATGTTGCATTGAAATGTAACTTTACAGAGACGTTTATAATGATTGCGTTGGAATGTATGCAAAAGTTTTGAGTTCTTGGGGAATGTATAATCTTCAGAAAAACACACTCTCGTCAGCTTTTTCAGGGTGACATACGAAATTGAGGATGTTACACATTTTTTTGTCAAGTTGCTCTAATTGTGGCAACTGGATACTTGTTTGTATATATTTAAGATTCTCCGTAAAAGCCGAAGTCAATAATAATGAAACAGATTTAAGTCCCCGTTATTCTGTGGCTTTTCAATATCATTCTTGCAATTCAAGAAAACGGGGAATAGATTACGGATAAAGGAGACCCTTAAAAGTTGAAGGAATGGTAGATCCTGCCAGTAACAGCGAACAACAATGATACTCAAAAACAGAATTTAGGAATATTTGCGGTTTCCGTTCTCCTTGAACGTATTCTACCATTGTCTACCCTCATAGGTGACTTCATAATGGGTCGCTGTGGTGTGTCCCTGCTTATTTTGCTCACCTTGGTGACTGTTTGCGCCTTTTCAAATGCAGGTGAGTTGAGGTTACAGGTGGAATTATTATGGGCAGTGCCAATGTATGCAGCTTTAGTAGGATCTCTTAAAGGTCTTCTCCACCAGTGGCACATAGATTCTCCCCGACGCACTTTCAAAAGCATTCGTTCAAAAATTTGATTCGCTCTTTTTGTTGTTGTTGTTGTTGTTTGTTTGGTTTGTTTGGTAGTTGACACTTAAGACCCTCATTGTCAATAAAGTAGGCTACTTTTTTGCAGAGTTATCTCGTGCTTGTACTGACGTGCCTCTGAGGGATGCAAACCATACCAAGATGATATCATCAACAGCCAGAAATCTGCTGGACCAGTCCTTCGGCCAGTTCCTTGTCTACTGTTGGAATGTTACAGTTGTAGAAAGGATGAGGTTGAAGGCGACGTGTCAATTCCATAGGACCTGGCCCCGGTCCATTTTCTTTATGGTGTCTGATGGCGCCCAACAAGGCCCAGGGTATTACGTCTACAGTGAATACTTTCCAGAAGAAATTTTTACCATGACACAGCAGCTTTCATTATACTTCTTCCTGGCAAACACTCTCCAGTCGGTTTCATGCAAGGTTCAACCTGATCAAGACAATTCCGGTAAGTGACACTTTTATGCTAATCTTCATCTAAAAGAGTGAACCTGCGTAATATATTGGGCCGGTTCATTATTACACTCCCTCCCTCTTTATACAAACAACACAGGATTTACTTAAAGTTCGCGCAGTTTCATTCCGTATCCAGCCTTTAACCTTAAAAATGTGTCGGGACAGAATATGCACTATGGCGTTTGGGTACTTTTTTTTTTCAATAGCGCCATAGTGCATTTTTTCACGTACTTCTGACACCAATTTTGTAAAAATCAAAATACTGTTCTCACTTAGCGCCCATTTTTCCGACGCAAATTGGCCAACAATATAGACTTTTCAATTTATTCTACATCTGCTCCTCCTACATCACATTTAGAGCATAATTACAGGATGAAGTGACAATTAAGAAGAAAAAATGTCATGTTTTGGAAGTGGGAGGAAAACATTCCAGGGAATATCCAAGGAATCAGGCAGGGAATGAAAAACTAATCCACATGATGACCGAGGTGGGATTCGAACCCGGTTCGCAGAAAGAGCCAACCACACCAACCTGACTCCCCGTTCTTGATGCATGCGGGCCGGCACAGATCATGGAGACAGGGCTCATCAAAGTGCTTGATGAACATCGCCTCCCGGTCAGACGAACAATAGCAAACATTCCGAAAACTCCTGATTACTGCCGGCAGCTTGGCCAGACAAGTGGGGCCAGTTATATTGTAGGAATATTTGTAAATACGGCAATGAAAATGATAAAAATAGAACACAAAATCTCAAAAACAACTGGGCTATTTATCACCCAAAATACGTCCAGAAGAAAGCGTTCGATATGGGAAACGACTGCACTTGAACTCTTCGGGTACATAGCGTAATAAAAGCAACTGCGCAAACATTAAATTTGAATTAATTATTTTAATTAACAAAGCATTTAGTATTCATCTTCCTATACTGCAATACACAACGTTTGTAGGGATGCCGATTACCAGCGAAAAACTGCGGCGATGATCATGGGATACAAAGGGGGCTTATGGACGTGAAAGAGGTAGTGCGTAGCAAGCCTTCGCTGCGCTCTGGCTATAAAGGCATGCCAGAAAGCGGTAATTGGCCAGATGTTATAGCCCCAGCAGTTTCAAACACCTGCTGTGTCCTTCCTCCTTGCACAAATGTAGCGTTGCACTTCAAATAACCGTAACAAGAAAGCCATGTATAACACATTACGTTGACACATATAACACGTTACGTTGAAAGTGCACACTTGTATTGACAAGGAGCGTCTTGTGTACCACGTTCATCAAACCGGGAGTGGGACTACCGAGTTATTTCATTTCCTGTCTCACCGACATGTGTGAAACACCTCTTTAACCAGAAACTTCAGCAACACAAATTAGGAGAACAAATTGTCGGGTGGCGCCGTCCTTTTTCAATCTTTTGCCATCGATGGACTGAGGACTGTTAGGGTTAAATTGTTTTGGACAAGGCTAATGTCCGATACGGGAACACATATGTGTTTGGTTACGTTTGTTTGTTTTTTCATGGATTATGATCTAATCGTTCTCTAAATATTTCCCTCTCAAAATAATGCCATTGCACAGGGTAGTTTGAAGGAATCCATTAAGATTGTTTGCCCACCATATGCGACAACCCAATGCTGCTAAAGGACGACACCAGTGTTACGATACAAACATGAAATAATGAAATGAATAGTTTAAAAACTGAGAAAGAGTACCACTCAGAATAATTACCTTAGACGTCCTCAATACCATACCCTTTCTTACCCAACTCAACGCCATGCCCTTTCTTCTACTCAACGTCAAGCCATGTCGCCTTTTCCCCCCTTATTTTGAGCACACAAACTTAAAATAATGCTTTAGCTGTTACTTAATGATTATAGCCTAGTTTATGGGTTGTACCGATATCACACAATACGATTATTAATGTTGGATACAGCATTGTCATTTCGAAAGTTGGTATTTTGTTTCAAAAGCTCTGCCCCTGGTGATTGATGAGATCGGGTAGTCTGAGACAAATACCAAACCATTTTGACTGTTTCAATAGTATCTTAAGGTCAAGTAGCCACTAATATCACTCAATCAAAAATCACAAATTATCTCGAATTTTGCAAACCAATGGTTTATTTTTATATATTGTCAATATTAACGGAAAATATCTGATTTGTTCAATGACTTTTTGTCTAATATTTCCGTAAACGTGCCGATTCTGAAAGCATAACATCACATTGTATTGACTGATGCCAGCGGTTTAAAAGGGTCAGGAAACCAATCTAAAAAGTAAAACAACATACTATTGTATCAGAAAGTTTGTTTTCCTTAGTTTTCTAGTCGACTGCACCAGCACGTTCTCCGGAAATAGGTAACTATATATAGGCCAATTAGACGGGGTTCTTTTGTTGGGCCGGGGTAAGCGGGAAGTGTTTGGCTAGGTTCCAGGGCCAAGTTAAGTTGTTACAAATGTATACTTTTCCAGACAGTGTGTTTTTGCATGCTGGGAATGAGCTGCGTTTTTGAAAGCATTGCGGCAGGTAGCAGGTCTTGGGAGAATTGAAAAAGAAGCAAGTTGAATTTCGGTTTCAAAGCTCTGAATCAACCGTGTCCCCTTTTCCAGCGATTTGCTCAGTTTGAGGACAAGAACCCAAGAGGTTTACGCTACACTTATGGTCTGTCTCATGTATCTTTCAGATTTGATTTGTGGTGACAGACACATCCTCCTGAACGATCAGCACCATCTTATCTTCTCCATACCGACCAATCACGTATCTTTTGACTGCAAGTGGTTGGTGACCACTCGCTCCCAACAGCGGGGGACATTCGTCTTGTTCCTCGATCTACTGTCTCTGAGTCTGACCTACTACCAAAAGTTGTCTTTTGGAAGTGGACACAACGAACAGAACCGCTCCACCTTGGTCAAAGAAATCGACAAATACACGTTTAACAGCGAGAACGGCACGTCCTATTTCTTCTTCCAGGAAAATCTTTGGATTTCGCTCTCATCCACTTTTTATCCCGGCTACGATGAAGTCCAGACACTATTGATTCGTCTAAAGGTGAAGAACTGCACCAGTAGTGCAGGTAAATATAGTTCATGTATTGCTATTATTTAGTTAACGGCTATATTTTGTATTCATGTAATAGATATTACCTTTGTTCCTGTGCAAAAACATTTAAAAACAAGCAATTACACAGTTGCTTAACTGTCATATTAAAGGAATTATACTGAAATGAGGTATTTCACGATGAATAAGTTAAGATTTAAATTTTTGAATTGAAATTAATGCTTAAAAAATGTAAACACATAAAATAACAACTGACGTAATATTTTTTATTGCTTAAAAAAAAATTAAACACATAAAATAACAATTGACGTAATATCACGACTTACACCTTATGCAGTAGTACGTAGGCTTTCTGACATGGATTTAATTGAAAGTGAGGTATTCCAATTTATTTTATCTAGGGCACCGGTACTACCATTTAGTTAGGAGTGTTTAGTAAACATTCCATAGCCTGAATCATTGCATATGAATAAAAATCAGTTTCTTCCCAGTCGAGAATAGCTTGTCCCCAAAAGATGCAAAGCTGCGCTTCCTCTTTAGCTAACTTACCAACGTTTGTAGAGTGTTGATCTGACTTGACATCAATGCTTTGCCATCAAGGTGCTTAGAAGGAGAGGCTGGAACAAGCCAATTTTTGACTGATTATTGTGCATTAAGGCTGATCAGACTAATTGCTAACGTTTGCCATGTTGACTTTAAGTTCATTATACAAATTTGGGTTTCTGTTTTTCATTTCAGTTCAGTGTAGCCCAGGACAAGTGCTTTGCTCAATCGACTCCAAATGCATATCTCAACGCAGCATGTGTGATGGTATTGCCCAGTGTTCGGATTACATGGACGAAGGCGGTGAATGTGGTTAGTATGAAAACTCGGGCTCACATTACGCCTTTTGCGAAGATTCAATCGAATTGTTCTTGCTGTTGGCCACTGTTATTATTGTTATGCATACTCCTTCTGGCCTCCTGTGTTCATGTAAAATACTGCGTGGTATGCTGCTCTCCGTAACTACATTTTGTTACCCCTCGTCTGTTTATATAAATGGGTCCTAAATTGGCTATTGCACTATGTACAAGTCACTCAGCTTTGCTGGGTAGTAACACATGAGTCTACAGTGTAATTTGACAACCAAGAATTGGAAGCCATTACTTTAGTGGCACAACTCAGGTGAACAGGTGATACGCAGCGTTACATGCCTCTTCGACCAGTAGGGTAAGATGATTATTCAAAATTCACGCGCGCGTCAATCTAAAGAATGTGCGTGAGAGTGACGGCATGATGGCGTTTAATACATCGCATTAGTCTAAATAGCTGCCAGCTGGTAGCCAATGGCTTTCGTACAGACGCACGTGCTATAGCCGTTGTATCCAGGAAATTTAGCTCTTCCATAAAACCATATCAAATTTTATTTCTATACCAGATTACTGTGGTGCATCAAAAGTCGTTTTGGGTATTGACGAGTCGCTCACCATACTTGCCAACGCAACTGTTGGCCCTTTCTCACGTTATTTTATCGGATTCTACGCAATATATCCCGGAACACAAGTTCCGGGTAATTTTTCGTCCGATGGGGTCATCGTGACTCAATACAAAGAGGAGCCAATGCTATTTGAGTGCGTCTGGCGACTGACTGCACCAAACGGAACCCGAATCCGGACCAAAGTGGAGAAATTTAAAGGGAGTGGTGTCGTTCTGAAGGAAGGAAACGGCGTTCATGTAGTCGGCGGGGTGCCTATTCTCGTGAAGAATTCATCATTCAAAACGATTTCGTCACCTATTGAGGTCTTATCTTCAGACCAGAAAGTGTGGTTGACCCTTGGCCTGTTACGCAGTTCTGGATACCTTTATGAAATGAAGCTTGTCTTCACATCGCACAACGTAACAGGTAGGCTTTTTGATTTCAAGTGCACATAAACGAACCAAACGAACTACATGTAGCTGGGAATCTGTTCGCCTTGAATTGAGGCTACAGCAGAGTAAAGAGTGTCAGAGCCAGAAGAGCAAGCAGTTGAGTCTGCTCTTTATTTCAGTTGCTCCTACACACACGTTGGAATGTGTGCAAATGAATGACCGGTTTTCAGATGCTCAGAGCACAGGTCACACGTCCAAAGGCTATTTTTCTTTTCAATTTTGGCCTCAATTTTGAATGTCAAAGCGGTACCGTTTGGCGAAGAGCCATAAATATAAAAAATTGACTTCTTCTATTTTCAATTGTTTGTTTGCTCTTTTGTTTCAAAACATCGCACTTCGATCTTTTGACATGCTTCCTCAAGCAAAGAATTTTAATTTTAAACTTACGTTAATCTTGTTAGGGGCAATATCTGGATCATTATACTTTGCGTTTTCACGAGGAGACACAAATCTGACTTCCCCTTCTACACGTACAAAATGTATTGACTGGAAAGGCCGAAAAGTAGGTCAACTGAGATTTTCGTTTTCATGACGAGACACACGTCATTGTATTCATAGCGCATTCGCATCAACTGTGAGGGGCATGAACATACGTATCCCCCATTCAATGTTGTGGTCATTTATTGGACCAAAAAATCTCCAAGTAACTACCTTTTCCTAAATATTACTTGAGGGAGACACAGGTGAAATTCCAATATGAGTGTTTCATGGGGTGGTTCAGTTTTGAATTATTCTTCCAAAAATTATCGAACTATCAAAATAAGCATATCATGCATGCAAGTAAAATGTAGGCGAATGGAGTGTGTACAATGTGCTTATTATGTGAATGAAGTGTGATATTTGCTGTCTGCTCATTGCACAATGGCATGACAGTTGTTTAATGACGAAATATATTGTACGATTCACGCTTGGTTGTTAATTAAATATTGATGAAGTGAGAAATTTCGACCAAACGAAATTCGCACTTTTGCTCTCAATTTACACAAACCAGTGCTCAGTACTTTGACAGCTAAAAGCATGCGCACGTAAAGTTGTAAGTCCAAAAGGCAGGAAAGTTGGAATTTCTAAAGAAGCAGAGTCAGAAATAAAATCGAATTATTACACAACTTGCCATATATAGTGTGTGTTTGTTTTCCTCTCAAAGACTGTGAAATGAACGAATACGCATGTCCGTCTGGTCTTGGTTGCCTAAAAAATGCATCCCACGAATGTGACGGCGATAGACAATGCCCCGGGTACGGAGACGAACTTGGTTGTGGTAAGAACAAAAGATCTGCTCTGGAAACCCCACCTCACAAAAGATTATTTTAACACATTCTATGCTAGAGTTTTGCGAGATATCGCTCATTGATGATCGTATGCAAACACCTGGTCGAACTTTATATCATTAAATAAATATAAACAGTTGAAATAACCTCAATCAATGGTTATTACTCTACCGAGAGGTAGGCCGTGTCTAGGCAGACCGTGTTCGAGGTTTGAAACCAACTTAGGCTGACAAAAGGATTGAGTTTCGTTCTGCGCTGTTCTTGTTTTCTAGGCTTGTCATTTTCATGAAGTGGAAATTTTCTGTAAATCATTTTCTTTTCTGTTAGTGCATGCATGCACTTTGAAGCAGCCGTTGCAGCGAATGTTTTATATGTCATTGTCTTGTCAGACTTTCATATTAGTCAATAAGAATGTAACAACATGTATACATACCCTTTACAATCTGGCTCCTCACAGGCCTTTGCAAGGATCAGTACTTGGAGTGTGCATCAACAAGAGAATGTGTTCCGCGCTACAAAATATGCAACGGCATTGCTGACTGCAGCGACTTTTATGATGAATTCCAGTGTGGTAAGATTTTAACATGAATGTGTGGGTTGGTGGGTTACTAAGGGTGAGATGGATCCTGCCTGAATGATTGAGTTGATCACCAGTATCGCCTGGATTGATTCATGTTTGTTTGCTGTACTCTTGAGCGTTGTGACCAGGTAAATGCGATGAGATATAAACAACCTACCCTAGTAGGTGGGTTAACCAATCAATAAAACAAAGTACTTCGTGAAAGTAAACGTTTATACAATAGTTACATTACCCCGTCATTCCAAATAACACTGAGATACAAGCCACTCAGATTTTCACGGCATGGTGGGAATTACATTTTGCACAAGTTAGTCTCCTACGAAAGTCGGGACATTTTATACAGTAGACGAAGGCCCATCTTCCATTACAACGACAGGTTACTGCGGAAATGAGACCATTGACACTTGGCCCCAAGTCAGCCACGTGATTGAGCACAGCGATGCCAATATAGAGTGCCTCTGGACCGTCATCTCTGAGGTGGGAACTAAAATTCAAGCCAGGATCAGCGAGTTCCCGAGAGGTTGCTGCGTGACCTTCAGCATAAGCTCTCGTCAACATGGGGGTTTCCACAACAGTGAAGTCATACGAACCGTAGACAGTGTTTTTTCCAACGGAAAGACTGTCTTCCCGACCTCCATTAGTTCTAATAATTCAGTCATGTGGATAGCTAAGAAGTGTTTCCAGTATAGCTATTCAGATTTGTTGTCAATTTATGTGCATCAGTACAACGACACAGGTAAGTAGGGATATATATTTTTGCATAACAGACATTGTAATTGTTTGCAAGCACAAAAAATCATATCGTTTCTAGTAACACTTTTGCAATGTCCATCCAAGGCACTCTTTAAAATGAAAATTGTACGACGGGGTACCACAATTCTGAGGAAATGAATTTGTCACTTTTTATTGGATTCAGATAAAATACCACAGGTATTATGAGTGGACGTGACGTTTAACTATGTTGCAGTAAGTCATATATATATAGAAGATTCAAAAGAATATATAAATATCAAAGTGTTCACAAATTGTGAAAGAAAAAGAACATGAGAAAAGCATTTCACACTAAAGAGGTGGAAATGTTCAAAGCAAAGAAATAATTGTCAGTTTTTATTTTTTTCAGAATGTCTCCCAAATGAGGTGTTGTGCTCCTCTGGGGTCGCTTGCGTTCTAGGAACTGCTGTATGTGACGGTTTGGCAGACTGTCCAGAGCATTCGGATGAAATCGGTTGCGGTGAGTGTAGAGTGTGCGTATGTCATGGCCAGGTTGCCTTTTTAAATCGCATAGTTTATCAGAACTTGATGATTGATGACAGGCCTTCATGTATAAGGCTAAACAACTACTGGCATATAGACTAATCCGATTAGACACCGGACTGTGGTGGCACCGCACTCTCACGCACATTCTTCAGCTTGACGCGCGCGTGCATTTGGCAAATCCCAACACCCTGTTGATCGAAAAGGCAGGTAACGCGTCCGTACCGCCTGTTCAGGAGTGTTGTGCCACTGCAGTAATGGCTTCTAATTCTGCTCATCGAGTTACACTATACCAGTCCTAGTTCATGGGACCCCACTGGCTTTATGCTGAACTAGCTGGACGTTCAAATGGCTAACCACGCGCTTCACTATGAGAAGGGTGTCCACGAGGGATGATGACCCCCCTCCTCCCCGTGCCTTTGAATTCAATCTGGTGCCTGCTGCTCGTTCTACGGTCCAAAACATTGGGATGATTCGTGGTGCCATTGCACTTGATAGACGAACTGCGCAACACTTGATCCGCCGCCCAACGCTTGGCTTCCCATCCATGAAGAGGTTTTGGTCGGCTGCACGTGACATAGGAATCTGGGGAAGTTCTGCCCTATTTATTGGATTCTGAGAGCTTGGACATAACCGAACACTACGTGGTTAAAAGAATATAGCAATAGTTATATTCCTTACCAAGGAACCCCAATGACTACCCGGTAGGGTTGTTTGCAAGGGGTAAAGGGTCGTGTCAATGATGAGCACTGAACAAGTTACTTGCACTGAACAAGTTACTTGCACACGAGAATACAGTCGAGCGCATAAAACACTTGCACGTTCATTTTGAAGAGTGACATGACTTTTACTAAGTCAAAGGTTGCTGTCTATTAACATTGCTGGGAAGCTTACAACGCCTTACCTCCCGGCCACGTGGAGTGTAAATCTCCACCACATTATATTAAGCACAAGAAAGTTAAGAAACACAAAACAATGTAGGACGTGAACATGCAATCGCAGCATGAATGGATACGGGCGATTCACAATCCGGTGCACCACCGAGAGGTTGTAATGGAGATGCTTTTTAATTTGTTGACAAAGTCTCATTCGCTAACAGCGCTATGCCTGGAAAACCCTTTCCGGCTGTCTGTGTATCGTGGTTGAATAATCGAAATCGTTTATTGTGAATGGGTGATAGGTAGTAAAATGACGGTTTTGATTGTTCATACAGGGAATGCCTAAATCAATCAAATGTAATAACATATGAAGTGCGCTTAATCACAGCAGTGTATTGAAAAGTGGCCTGGCTGCGTCAAACTCTTGGTGGGTTACTGTATCGTGAATCGCCCGTTACACAGAACAAGGGTCTCAGCTGGTCTTTACCTGTGCATAGCTAAAAGCTAGTAATTGTTCAAGGGTCACTTTTTCATCCATTTTTACAAACAGGTAACTGTTCCAGCAGCGAGTTTATCTGCCGGTCGGGGGCGCAGTGCGTGTCGAGTGACCGTATCTGCGATGGCACCACTGACTGCAGGGACTTCTCGGACGAATTTGATTGTGGTGGGGTTTCCCTCTTTGTTAAGTAGTGTTGTAATTTGATGTGAGGTTCCAACTTTATATCATGCCAACGTTGAAGCTATCATAACGTTCATCTTCGGGAGAAATGTAACACAGGAATTTTGCTTTGATGTAATTCTTATCATATACTCTTTGGCTTTATTTTGATTGAAGTAAGGTCGCGTTGTCTGGCACTTGAAGTTGTTAACTTAGTAAAATTCTTTACTTATTTGGTCTGAATTTTTTCAACAATATGACCAGATTGAGCTGTCAGTTTTAATTTGTTCTTTTCCCGACCAGGTCCTTGTGGGGAAAGCGTTTTTGACTTATCGCTCAACACATCTTGGAACATCACCTCGCCCGGATGGCCCGTTGACATGTACCCTAATAAAATGCATTGTTTGTGGTTGATAATGGCCGAAGAGGGATACCGCGTCGTTATGACGTTTTGCGAATTCCAAACTGAGGAAGGATATGATCTTTTACATTTTGGTGGTGGTGGATTCAGTGACAACTTTTTTCCAGTTAGTGGGTTAGTAAGATTCCTAGTCTATACTATTATAACTTGTTAAATATCGGAAACATTGAAAGAGGTCCCTTCAAGCAATAATTTTAGAAGGCAGTATTTCATTTGCATATTAAACACTTTTGTATTATATGGATATGTAAAAACATTTTCATGTCCTATCACTAAACATTATGTCAAAGTACGTGCACTCACTTTTCTGAGATCACGTGCAATCGTACAACTATTCTCTCCATTGGTGGATTTTAAAAACACTTCTAAAATACCTAACTCACTCAGTAAATAGCCGTCTGAATGTGTTTTTCTTCAAAATCAGCACAGCTTTCAAAAAAGCGACTGTGTTACATACCTTAAATTTCTCGTCCTTTACCACCATGTTCAGAAATGATTCTCGCCGTTGTCATCACTAAAGATTTCTTAAGTTTCATTTTCTCCTTGTGGTTAGAAATTGGCGATATTGTGCAGTTTTATTGAGATTACAGGTTATTGCCCGAAATTACTCCATTGATATTGTGCAGAGAGCCCTCGGCTGGGTGATGGCTGTCGTGGTTAGGCCAATAGTAAGCAGGTTACGGATCTCACAAGATTATCTTATTTTCTTCATACTTTCTTTTGATGCAGTCAATATTTCCCAATTAGTGCTGCGTCCAATAGAAGCACCATGTACGTGAAGTTTACTTCCGATCTGCTTGTGAGAAAGAAAGGTTTCCTGCTGTATGTGGAGCAAAAGCCGGCAAACACAGGTACCCTGCAGTAAAAACAAAACCGTTCTAGACTTGAAAAGGGTATATCCAACCACGTGTATCAGTGACATGTACCTAAACCATAGGTTAATCTCATTCATGTCTAATGCATTAGGCCTACTTTCCTTTAACAGACGCGTTGTTGTCTACACTAGCTCAACGACACATTGAATGATGAAACGTGTACTTTTAGTACTTACACTATTAAAAGTGTCAAATATAGTAATGTGTATTCAGATTATCGGATTTCATGCGATTCTTCTGCAAGAAAGAAGGACCATAAACGCTAATGTCTTTTGTCAAAATATTAATTGATAGTTCGGTGCGGAAAAGACGAAGTTCCTTGCAAATCTGACGACCTGGTCTGCGTTAAGAACGACACGTCCGAGAGAGGCAGACCAGTTTGCTCTCAGGGTAAGGCGCCACCAAGAGTTCAATATTAAGTTACCAGACCTTGTTTTTTATATAGATGGAAATTGCAATTAAGAAATCCTTTAAAAGGTAAACCTGTTTAAGTATGGGTTACACCATGTCCTCTGCGACTTTCATATGCTGAGTGTTTCGTTCATTCTTAGGTGTATGTGGCTGGCGACGTTATCAGATAGGGACCCATCCGCAGCCATTAGGATCGCCAGGTTATCCGTCCAGTTACCCTGTGGATGTTCACTGTATCTGGGAGATCACGGCTAGGAAATCGGATTCGATACTATTGTCGATCCAAAAATTTGAGACCGAAAGGAACCGTGACAAGGTGTTGCTTTTCAGCAGTTCAAGTTCGGAGAAAAACGTGTCTTTCGAACTCGACGGGACGACCAAATTACGACACATCCAGTTTAATACCACGACACTCGAAATTCATTTTACGTCCGATTCATCTGTCACGGCAAGTGGGTTCTCTTTCATGCTGTTTGGAAATAACTCGGCAACCGGTAAGTGCGTAAATGTGGGCTACCTATAGAAAAGGACAAATCAGATTATAGTTTGAGCATTTTACAGCAACGTAGTTTAATTCAGGCACTGAAGCCTAAAAACACCGCTACACGTACTCACAGAGAGCCTCTCTGTTTAATGCATTCTTTCGCATGAGATAAAACCTGCCGGGCCAAATACCTCTTTGACTGCGGTGACGGGTCGTGTCTCTCGCTTGATGCTCGTTGCGACGGCTTCAAAGACTGTCAGATTGACGGACGAGACGAAGCAAACTGCGGTAAGTGAGACCCTTGAAAGCCAAGAGATCAGGATTCTGGGGAATAGTTAGACCTCTTGTTAAGTCTATGTGAACAGTCTGTCTGAGATGAACTTTTTGTACAACTCTCTGCTCTTCTTCAATGTATAAAACCTTTCGGCAGTGGTATCATTTAATAGATTGATATACTTTACATGTGTGTATTGAAAAGTGCACTTTCTTATGCGTTTGAAATTGTCCGTATCTTAATAGGTTGGGTCGGTGTTGCTGACAGTTGCTCTTATGTCCAGGAAACACATGGTTTAGCTTACAAGTTTGTCTGTTCGATTCTTGAAACCAAAACCTGCTCATTGAAATGAATTTTTCGAAAATATCGCTCGGTGGTCTATTATTGTTTATTTGAAAGACAATGAATCAACCACAAAAGGAAAATTAGGACAGCATGTTTTAAAAAAAATTCGAGCAGCTTTGCTCTAAAATTATCATAACATTCAAATTTTCTTGGTTGTGGATTAGCATCATAGTTTGCTAATAAATATGGAAATTCTTATCAGCAAACAAATTCAAATACGAAGTTGATTCGGTGAAGCACACAGGTGTATTTCGAGGTTTGTATTTAAAATATGTATTCCAAAGACCCTTAAAAGTGAAAGAAATCTTCCTCAGACAATTTTCATACCCTGTAAGTTTCCACTGTACTTAACTGGCCGCGTACGTGCCAGTCACATACTGTAGATGAATTACAGTATTTTAATTACAGTGTTGTTATGACTGTGAATTCCTGTTGGACTGTAATTAATTGTAGAAGTTATTCGTCGACGTGTACTGTACTGAAGACGGCCATAGCAAACAATGATTTTAATGAAAACGGATGTCATGATTTTGAGTAGTCCTCAAGTGGAAATGATGAGGCAACCGTTAGTACTTTTTATGATAAATTCTACAGTGTACTTAGGTATAAGACCACTGTTCCCTTACATCGTATCCAGAAATTTTTAAATCTTTGTCAAATGGTATTCCGGTATATACGCACTGTTTTGACCCTGTAATCAGGGTTGTTACATAAAATTCAGTTTTCTCGCAAGGAAAGTTATTTAAATGTATATTTCACACGTAAGATTAACGTTTACAGTGTAAACATTTTTTTTTAGTAATTGCAAAGCTTTTCACAAATGTAACAAATGTGAATGTGGTTAACAGTACATTATTGTCTTGGTCAAAAGGCAGTACATTACACATTTCACAGTAACATTTTACATTGCAGTTTTCAAGCAGACTCATGCGGCTTAAACAACATTATCAATGGAAAAATCGTTTTTGTCCAGGCACATTATCATGCAGACATGTACAGCTACTGCCTAAAGCTTACACGAGTTTCCTTTTTAGCAAGTTTTTACCGTCTTCCCCTAGAATCTGTTTCCTGCCCAGATTTCTTCTCCTGTAACGACTCAAAAACGTGTATCTACTGGCCTATGGTCTGCGACGGTATCCCAAACTGCCCAAATAGACATGATGAGGTCGAATGGGTGTGCGGTATGCTATTGGCTTTTATTTAAGTTTGTATCTTAAATCGAAAAGTGGATCTTTTTTCTTGAGGTTTATAGTACGCCGATAAATGTATTCAGGGCTAATACGTGGTTCCATGTGTAGACTACACCAAGACCTGAGTTATTCTTTACGTTTTGAATCAATCAATTCTAGCATCACCTGCTTCATTGGACGTTGAGCCAAGTTATTTTCATGATATCTAACTCACAGAAAGTAGTCGATGTCCCTCTGAGTGCGAGTGCTCGACAAAGAACGATATTTATTCCGCTACTTGCACAAACGGCTGGAATGAGTCAACTATCCAGCGCATAGCCACAAGAGTAAAGCGCATGTAAGTACAGTTGTATATTATGCAGGTACTGTTCTAGATTTCCGGTTAGTCTCCATTTCTAGCTTCATCCAGCTTTCACCATAGAGTACCGAAGTATGAAACCATTGTGAACCAGAACAAGTGTAGTGCAAACAGATGGAGAATGTGCGCTTGTTGGTTCGCACCTTCAGAAGCAAACCTATCATAAAAGAACCATATTGGTTGGGAGTGTTCATTTGCTGGTAGCAGCGGTGCGACCGTAAAATGTGCATTTTTTAGTCGTTCGTGAACCAGCGAAGTTCAGTCCCGACCAAAGGAGCCTCCGTTGCTAGGAAATCGCGCCCAGTTAGGCACACGACTAAATTCCCCCCCCCCGTCTGTGAGATGGGTCAAAATAACCCAGCTTTTTAGGGTTAAGGTTTCTACATGTGAGTAACTAAGCTGACACATGCAGAATTATTCAAAAGCCCATGTCGGAAAAAGCTCTTTAATGAGCAACCGCACCTGCTCCTCGCCCACAAATTCTGCATCTTAACTTGCCGAGAGCCAGTCCCGTGACATTGTTTTTACTTTTTTTCGGGGGGGGGGGCTTTTTTGCTATCTGCTATCCTGCTTTTCTAATATAAATAAATAATATATATATACCGTATAAATACCAGTAGCAACCAAGAAATATACACAAAACCACCAACATTGTGTGCAAATGCGCATTCCAACGTGCCAGCGCTACAGAGCTGATTCAAGCATTTTGTGAAAAGGTGAGTTGGAAGCGTGCTGGTAAATTTTCAACTAATTTCTTATCCAAATATGCATACCTGTTGAATGTATTGAAGCCAGATTAATTTATCACCTAATTTATGCCGAATCTGTGAATGGGGTGGTACTGCTTTATATCGCGGCATAGTAAAACTAGTCTCCCGTAGTGATCCATGGAACATTCTTTTTTCCTACACCTTCCCCTCAGAAAAATGGAATGTTCCGTAGAGCACATCGAGATGTTAAGTTGTACTCCACTACTCGAAGTAGTCAATATTTGTACTACCAACCTTGAAAAAAAAAAGAGAAACAAAATAAAAAGGCACTTTGTAGAGCCAAGTTGTCACCTTTTTTGCTGTTTTTTGTTGCCGTAAACGCGGAGGATATACGTTTGTTATTATACTGGCGCGAGGTATTAAAAAAAAACAAATGAACTAGTAATAACTAAAAGGGCGCACCAGGAATGCAGTGCCAAGAGATAAGATTATTTCATTTCTGGAATGGATTCATCGGGAAAAATTGTGCTATTTGTCCAAAGTGCTCCATCCAAACCTTTGTTTTTAACCACTTTATTTACACCAATGACTTCCATTGCAGTTTTCTGTCTGATGGTAACATCAGTGCTCTGGAACCAGGACTATTCAAAAGATTTTCTGATTTAAGAGTGCTGTAAGTTATCCCCCTTTTTTCTCTGTGATTTCTATGACACACTACGAAAAACATCGTAACTAGGGTGCTACAGCTTAGGGGGCACCTAGGGATAAACTTTTCCAGGGGGTACTGAAAATGATTCAACTAGGTACATGTATATATATTTTTTGTCCATTTCAAAATTTCAAAGGGGGGGCATGGACCTCCGGGGGGGCACGTGCCCCCCGTAACTACGACATTGGGCAGATATCGTTGTATTACTGATGGTCTCATGTAACGCTTTATAATTTGACCGACCAAATGTGAGAGAGTCGTCAGATAAAACTGTTTTCTTTTCTCTATTTTAACAAGCAGACGTGTGATCAACAGCAGCATTAGAAGTATTACACCTGGCGCGTTTGACGGACTGCAAAATCTAACTTTCTTGTAAGTTTAACAAACGACAATTTTAAAGTTAGACTATCTCACTGGTTAAAATTAAGCGGTGTTTACCTATAAAGGCTTAAGCCTGGTTTCCATATCGACGTAAGAAACGCAGACAGCAATGCAAACAAGACACAAACTGCAACGCAAACATATCAAACGGAGGTGTCGCCAAGAACGCAGACAAACGCAAACCAGACCGTGAATGATTGGTAAAGTTGAGCCAGGTACAACTTTGCCGTCTGTATGCGTCGAGTAGCCGTAGTATCTTCATACAACACATGCTGGCATGATCGGCGTGCAACGATGTCCCTCTTGCCTAGTTCCACGAATTTTGCCCGTTTTCTCTTCAATGCTTAAATGTTACACCCCAGTGCCCAACTACAAAAGCTGACTGGCAATGAAATGCGTGAGACTGGAGTAGAAGTTTTTCATCATGGGGCAGTACAGTCAATCTTAAAGGGCATTTTCCGCCAAAAATCACGGAGTTTCGGACTCCATTTTGTTTCAGTTTTGGGATAGAATGACGTCATGCGCCGTTGCTTCCGTTCATGTCTGCGTCTTCACGTCTTTCGTTTTGTCTGCGTTACAAACGACCGTACGGAAACCAGGCTGTACATTCATTCTTCGTCCGTACTATCATCCATTACAACAAACTTGGCTAGCCAATGTGGTGAAACAACTAATTTTTCGGTTTCCACACCGCCTTATAATTGCATTTCTGTAGGTATTTCCTTTGTTCTCTGATTTGTGTGTTTATAGTGCCTTGTGGGCCATGGGTGGAGATCTCAGGGGGGTGGGGAATATATTAACCATGGAAGGGGGATTACCAATGTAATCATCCCCCGCACACACACACACCTTACATACCTAGTGCGGGCATTCCTTTCTTTTCGTGCAATTAAGAAAACTCAGTGAAAATACTCGTTTTTCTTGAACTTGAAACACGATTTTCAGCTGGCTTTTTGTACAAGGTTTCCTTGACTATTTCTCTTCTTTTTACGGCAAATGACTCCTACTCCAAAATGCCTCTAAACTTCTTTTTCATACAAGGGGAAACGTCCAGTGGACATGTGTAAGTCCACAGAACGTCTTCCTTTCCTGCATCGTGTGGACATCTTTTGTTCACAAGTCCACGCTAGGTATGTAAGGTTAGGTATGTAAGGTTAGCGCACCCCCACACACTTTACAAGTCGCTGACTACGCCCATGGCCTAAACCATGCAGTTGGCGGCGTCACGATCGTTTCATGGAGGCTGTGCTGAACTTCAGAAATCATCCCCGACATGTGAGAAAACAATCTCCGCCCATACTCTTGGATACCAGAACAATAGAAAGGAACATTTATTGTCCTTGTAGGGTACTGGAACGGGACCCCACACGAATTTCATGAAACTGATATTTGGAATTTATACCCAGCACGATATGTGGCAAAGGAGGACCCCCATTGTAATGCATAAGCTATATACCCTACGGCCATTGTGCCTGTTTCACCCCCCCCCCGAAAATCTGAAAGGAATTCTAAAGATTCCGTCAACACAAAAGATGACACAATGGGGGGTCCCCCTTTGCCTCATATCTCGCATCAAATGTTGGAATTTACTCAAAATAGAGAAATTTTCACGGTATACGTATCCGTAGCAGGATGAAGTGTTTCTATAAAGGGACATTTGATCGAAATATCAATCCAGGAAAGCCAGTCTGGTTTAAGTGGGAGCGATTTGGAAACTGCATCACACACTAAATTTTGGTACACGAACTGGCGGAGATTAGTGCGATTTACCGAGATAGGATAGTCTGATGATTGAATGATATCTAAATATTAAATATTTCATGTCGCAGACTAAGATAATATTATTGTTTGTGATACAACAAGGCGTGCATCATTTCCTGATCTCTATCTTCGTCTCATACGACGACAATGACAACGATAAACAACAACGATCTCGAGACTGTCACACATATTTATTGTTGATACAAATTGATTCATGCCGATATGATCACATGTTATACAGTTACACCTTCACATTTAGATCAGGTGTACTTCGTAAATGCTACTTGGTTTTTTTCTTTATCACTTTCAGAGACATCTCTGGCAACCACATCACCCGTTTTGATGCTGACTGGTTTAACGAGCTGCAGAATCTAAAGCACCTGTAAGATTTTATGTTATGTCCAAAAAAAGAAATTGATTAGGGTAGGAATAAAGCCGGCTGGACATAGAAAAATGTGTTGTGTTGAGATCTGACAACCCTACATTGGATTGATTCGCAAAGAGAGGATGATTGTTATCTGGTCTGCATCTAACACTGCATTGTTTTCTTATGTACTACAAGAGCTGTGTGCCATATGCCGGTGGAAACAATAGGAAACGGAGCATTTAACGGCTTGAAACAACTGCGGACGATGTAAGTGTTTATCCAACGCTAGGTATGGTGCAGGTGAAATTACTGTTTGTTATTGTAAGATGCTATTCAGCTTTTGGATCAGGTTGCAAATTAAAAGAGTTCATTTTGAATTAATTGCAATTTGCAGTCAATACAGTAGATGACAAATTGATTCGACGGATGAGAAGGCGGATGCTAGTATAACAAATCAAGTTCTTACAATCCTGGATAAAATTGTAGGGACACTGAGCCATACGCTCTCCAGCCCACTCCCACTTCCCCGGTCAATGTTGTCATGTTCAGCCGGAGCGCAGACCGTGCGCATAGACCCAAGACTGTGTCCGCGGTGCAGTTTGGCGGGTATTTTCTTGCATTATTTGCTGGAAACTAAAATGACACCCCAGTGTTTAAGTATAGACAAATATATATTTATTTTACAAGAAAAAGCAAGATAATTATCCATGGCCAGGCTAAATGCAAGTTCATAATGGCCGCAAAGGCGAATACGAACGATTATTATGATGTCAGATAAAGTGTACGTGCTGCGAACTCACAAAACGTTAAGAACATTTATTTAACTCGAGTGAATTTCGTTGCATATGAATGAAAAGGTCTTATGCTTTCTTAAAATTCATAAGCAAATGAATTTTCAGTTGTGCCCACTCGTTTCCGTCAGAAATCGCGCGACAACTTGTACGTCACCGACTCGCAGCCCAAAAAGCTCATTCCATATCAAGCAGATCGAATGTTCGTGGCCACTCTTCAAAAGCTTAATGTAGACCTGCTTTAGTGTAACATAGTTATCATCCTCATCATGTGGTTAATGATTTTTTTCAGGATACTAATCCGAGGTGAATCGGCCCCCAAAACCTCAGTTGAAGTTGAGAAGAACGCAGTGACTGATTTAATGAACCTTGAAACACTGTGAGTTGACCTAATTGACATCAGAACGCTATTTTGACAATAATGGTTGCAACAATGGTAGCATAGCAAGAACACCAGCAACCGAGGATAGATCCAGAACCAAATTGTTAGAAACGACCAAGTACGCCTCTAGTCTAATCCGGCTCGACCAGAAGCACCCCTCGTCGGTTGAAAAGAGCCGCGTTGGTGGGAGTATTCATTTTGTTGGTAAAGGTGCGACTGCTTTGCTTGCGTTTCCTAGTCGTTCGTGAACTAGCCACGCGCAGTTAATTAGTACCAAAGGAGCCTCCATTGCTTCGGAAACAGCGGCCTCTCTCTGTCCAGCTCAAGGCAATTAATGAGAAGTGCCTGCTGAGCATTGCGTGAGTCAGGAACTCTCAGCACAATGTGAATTTGTTCCCTTTCGTACCTTGTTTCAACAGGTATGTAGATGACCACCGTCTGTGCTGTGGGTTTATTGAGTTCCTGACGCATTTCCATGTGAACAACTGTAAGACTACTGAGGTCCAGCCTCCTCTAAATCTGTGTGGAAGTCTGATGCGTAACAACCTCCTTCGTGTTGCTATGTGGACTCTGGGTCTAAGCGCTCTCATCGGCAACGCACTGGTCATTATTTGGAGGTGTTGCCAGGGCAAAGAAAATGGCGAGAAGAAGACACACTCTTTGTTTGTTCTCAACTTGGCAATTTCGGATCTGATGATGGGTGTGTACATGCTGATCATCGCTGGGGCTGACGTGTCTTTTGGTGCGGATTACTCCCGCACAGCGAGCGAGTGGCGGTCTAGTGTCGTCTGCAAGGTAGCAGGTGTTCTCTCTGTTCTGTCCAGCGAGGCTTCTGTGTTCTTCGTCACCCTCATTAGTGTCAGTTGTTGCTTCTCCATCATGTTCCCCTTCAGTCGGACACGGATCGGGGAGAAATCAGCCACCTTCCTGGTGACTACCATTTGGATGGCCGCAGCCGGCCTCAGCATCGGACCCACCGTCTTTATCGATTCCAATTCTTCAGAGGTCTACGGCCTGTCCGATGTTTGTATCGGTCTACCCTTGACCACTATCCCCAAGAGTTACATGATCCAAGAGCATAACCTCGGTGATGCAATCATGCCCGACACCATATCGATCCCTGTTGGACAAGGAAAGCAGCCTGCCTGGATTTATCCCATCGTTCTCTTTCTTGGCGTTAACTTACTGTGTTTCCTAGTTGTGTTCGGCTGCTACGTCGCCATCTTCGTCAAGGTCAAGCGCACGGTCAAAAGGGTTAGGAGGATGACCCACCGCAATCAGGAGATCAAGGTGGCCCTCAAAATGGCGCTGATAGTCGGTACAGACTTTGCCTGCTGGATGCCGGTGATCATCCTGGGAATCCTGTCGCAGACCGGGGTGATGGACATCGGCCCTGATATCTATGCCTGGATTGTGGTTTTCATCCTACCAATCAACTCGTCTCTCAATCCGTATTTGTACACCGTGTACACCGCGGTGGTGAGTCGCCGTCAAAATTTGAACTCGGTGAAATCCCAGCTAGGGAGCGAAATGAAGACAAGGTCGTTAGAGACAATTAGCTCGAGTGTGTACGACTTTAAGCAATCCTAAATTCCTTCAACTCTAACAAGCCCTTATCAGATGTTTATTATGAAAAAACCCAATGAATCACACAGCAGCAAATAGGTTATTGTTTACAATGCACTGGCAGTTTTTTGTTGAGAGATAAGGTATCAGTAGGCTTATTTATAGATAATACCATCGTGACAGTCACATACCTTCTGGAGACTCACAAAATCTGTTTTCGGAGCATGCATAGTTGTGATGTAAAAGACAATCTCAAGTAAATACCATTGAACAGTTTTGACACACCGGTGGCCGTTGCACAGATGAACTGGAGACACATTACAGATGGGAGATGAGTTTTACTGTGTGGAAGAGCCGCCATGTACCACCATGCCTACATGGTCTATGCATGGATATAAAATATTCACCTGTCGTCCTAGACTTAATCTTTAGCTTTAGTCGCTGTACTGTTAAAGCCATAGGCATAGGTCAGTTAGGTATTTTAGCAACATTACATGTGAACACATACGTTTTTTATTGCCGGATTTTTGTGGTCGACCCATATGTGGGAAGTTGTATTAATTACAGAGACGCATGCTCTTAAGTGTAATTTTATGTTCAATACGGGCGATTCACAAAAGTGCACCTCCAAAAGTTTGCCGCGCCTTAGCCAATCATAATGCACGAAATCTGTCGCCCCTTTCCAAAAGCGTATTAGGTTGACAGATTTCGCGCATTATGATAGGCCAGTTCGTTACAAACTCTTGGAGGCGCACTCTTGTGAAACGTCCGTATTGAAATTTCTTTAAATTTTCAATTCATTAAAATAATTAATGTTTTATCAAGTGTGGAACAAGTGGGAAGTTGTTTTAGTTTAAAAAGTACACTTGCTTTTACGTGTGAAATATTGTATTTTTTTGTCTCACTGTTCAATACTGGCGATTCACAATAGTGCGCCTCCAAGAGTTTGCAGCGGGTTGGCCAATCACAGTGTGCAAAATCTGTTGACCCAATGCGCGTCTGGAAAGGGTCGACAGATTTCGCGCATTGTGATTGGCCAACCCGTTGCAAACTCTTGGAGGCACACTTCTGTGAATTGCCTGTATTGAAATTTGTTGGAATATTCAATTTATTAAAAATGATAATCAGTGTTTTATTACACGGATAAAACAGTTAGGTGGTGTGTTGAAACCTTACAAATAAATAAATGTTTGTCTGACAAACCTATTTATCCTTTGCATGGCGGCTCTTTATTAGATGAGGGGAGAGAGGAAATGTTATGTTTCTTCAGGGTAGGAACCATTGTTTTCAAAGGGATAAATCTTGGAATTTAATGGGCTTTTGGCATGGCATTGGCACGCTGCGAAAATTTTAATTTAGTACGTTTTTTTCTGTCCGCTTGCACTTTCTTTCACTTATTATGTATCATCATAACGGACCTTCTTCGGAAGAGACGAAATGCATTAGCCTACAAGGCAATCAAATTAGGCTACTATTTCAACGCATGTATTCCTCTGTATGTAAGGATGGACGGATTTACAGAGTCAAATAACATGATGATTAAAAGCATTGCGTTTTATTTGTTCCCAGCAAACAACATTCACAACATCCACACACATTATGCTATACAGCAGTAATGCAAGCTTAGGCCTAATTAAAACAGTTTCACAAACACTTTTGGTTTTTACCATGTTGATTGTTTTCACACAGATCGTCCAAATTTAAAGACGGTTTGTTTTCATTGCATTAAGACTATACCTTCTAAAATCGTGAGACTCTGTTGAAACTAGCCCAATATTAGCAAGTCTGGTCTGAGCCAATTTGGCTAATCAGACTAACTAATGGTGGTACCCATTTATACTCCTGGGTGGAAAGAGGCATGCAGGGGTGAAAAGGCTTGCCAAGGACCACAGCATACTGGATTCGAACCTGCAACCCTATGGTTGGAAGCCACTGACCCTAACCACATGACCACATGTCCCCCCACATGCCTTGTATTAAATAACCAAAACCAAACAAACAAACAAACCAAAAACCACAGTAACAAATTGGATTAGCAGTCCCATCACATACTCTCAACACGTCATGCCAGAGATTTGTACAACGCAAAAATGTTAAGAGTATTAAAACCTTTTGTCAAAATCTTGTCTGCTAATTTGGCAGATTCTAAGAAGTTGAAACACGTATCTTTAGTTTACAAGTGTATACATGTGGAATAGGTACCGGTACATAATTGATTGATAGTGCTATTGTAAACATGGGAACAGACAAAAACAGTGGAAGAAACGAGCTTAGAATTATTAAAGAAGTGTACCTGAAACAGGAAAACTCTTATACGAGCTAGGATCGTGAACGATGAAGCTGGCTAACTATGGGCCTATCCTATATGGGCGTGTATAAAAGAAACATTTCCTTTGTACCTGCGCGTGATAGTCAGAATAAATGGATCATTTTGGTTTACTTTTAAGGATGGCTGAGTTTTATTTAAGCACTATAATATTATTCCTCCTTAAGACTATTACATTTTCCTTGAGGGTATCGCTGATTCCATTTAAAACAGCTCCCAAATATGTCGCAGTAAGAACAAATCAATACAGATATATTACCACCTGGGTTAGAGTGAAGAGTGCATTTGCTCATAGCTATTATGATTCACATGGAGCCTGGAATTGCCCTTGACAATGCTCGTGGCTGGTGTGACATAAGAATGTGTGCGTTGGGGGTTGTGCGACACCCCCCTTTGCTTGATGTTTCCACCACCGTTAGTCTGGTTAGCCTCCATATTGTTGCTGCAGCACCAGACTAGTATGTAGATATAGGACCGGCTAACATGCAGGCTAATGATCCGGTCAAAGTTACTGCCGTTGAATAGGTCAGAACGCCAATCGCGAACTGGCTTCCGCACTCGTTGAAATATCCGGTCAAACTGACTGCGGATTCAACAGATCTGGCTTTATATAGTCGGGGGGTTATTTGTTTTTCGAATGGCGCGACGCTCGCATACGCGTGCGCAATGATTACAGTTTAGAACACGTGCTCTAAACGCATATAAGAAACAACGCGTAGAGAAACTGATCATTTTGAACAGAGTTACCGACAGGCACAGATCTACAGATTGGCAACCCAGATCGACGTATTACACGAATAACGTAACCACCGGTACACAGGTAAGCCGGTCTACTACCGGATACGCTCTAGCCTAATATCTAGTGTAATGTATATAGATACTATATCCTACTGCTGTATGCTAAACGTTATATGTATCGTGTTTCTATTTAGATATGGCAGATTCACCGACACACGAAAGGCTGCGACAGGAGATCAAACGCCGGCTCAGTTTCACGCAGGTGACAGACTGCGAAAAGACGCTGGGGAGACCCAAGTCTAAGTACGACAATGTTTTCCTGTCCAGCGCTGTCTTTCATCGTTACAATCCCCACATGGATGCCGAGTTGCCGACCGTGGGCCGACTCGTACAGGCATCTCTGGGAGGCTACCAGTGGCAACTCTACGAACACGACCCCAAATTGGGAGGCACACCCTGCAAGATAAGTGGCAGAAATTATCACGTATTGGTAGCTCTCACCGCTAATCGCAGCGATAACGGTCGCATAAAGACCCTTTCCCAAAAGCTAAAGGAACAGAATATGGAAATTACATCAGTAAAGGTGCAACAACCCAAACAGATTGTTACTTACTTGCGAATACCGCCACGTACGTTGGTGGCTGAAGTATGCCAATGTCGTACGAAGAACACTTTGACATTTTCCGTATCGAGCCCACCCCGCAAGACATTGCAGACATGGGAGAGAGAGAAAGATGCTAGAACGATCGGGTAAAAAAGAAATTGCGTCCCGCGGTGGAGAAAATGCAGACACACCCGAAGAACTGGATGCCGTGTCGGACATTGAACTACTGTGCCGATTAATTGACAAGCATCAACCCAAATCTGCCAATCATTTCGTGTATCTGGTGGACAAGTGCGAATCGCCGGCGGTGGTGGAACGCATCGATAAAATGTCTTATGCTGCAACCTGGAACAACAAGTTCAGAAATGCAAAGAATAGAAATACCATTCACTTGATTGACTGTACCATGACCGAATTGACAGACAGGTGGATTGACGCGCATTCGAACAAAGACACTGCAGACAAGTGGCTGTCTGTAGAAGAAAGCGCCGATTACGTACTCCAATGGTGCAATCTACAAGGATATCTGTTGGAACAGTTGGCGAAGAACGTGCAACAAATTGTCGATAAACGACTTGCCAAGATTAATTGTCTCGCAATCTTGGGACAGAGAAATGCCGGAAAACGTGGCTTGCCAACAGTATCGGAGATCTGTGCGTTCACGTGGGAGAGCTAACACAAGGCACCGGCAGTTACGCATTTCTGTGGAGCGAGGGTCCCGATAATAGAGTGATTATTCTCAACGAGGCTTACCTCGATCAGGCTATAATCGAAAAGGCAAAGATTTTACTGGAAGGGGGTGATACAATGGTACCCGTTAAATACCAGCACGTAGCATTCCTACCGAGAACGCCGGTCATTGCTACGTCCAATCGCCCCCCGTGGAGAAACGCCGAGATCGGAAAGGATGCCGTTAAAACCAGATGCATAATCAACGACAACCTGAAACCCTTCGACGCTCTGAAAAAGACTACTAAACGTTGCAATCTGTGCGTATGACAGTTCCTGATTGAAGAAATGAACCTAGGATCTACCGACAAGAGAGATGCCGACAAGCAGACTCCTTGTCCCGAATTAGTGCATAACTTGGAACCAGACTACACCAGTACACCTACCCGTAGTTCCGAGACAATTCGGAAGAAACATACACAAACACATGCCCGTAAAGAAAGCGCACACTTCCGGTACGACTGACCTTTGACCTCGTAGCCATGTCTCGTGCACGAATCGGTGCTCCCGCGGGTCTCGTTGCGGGTCCGCACGCTGCAGTGTGTCGAATCGGAATGAACAGCGCCACCACCCTTTCTTTTCCACAATTTCTGTGCTAAGGGGATCCAGACTCGAGTGCTACAAATTTAAAAAGTGGCTGCGGTTAGTCCAATACTTGGGGTAGTGATTATCTTTAGGGGGCAAGCCTTAATTTACCCAGAAGTAGATTGAAGAAGAGTGCAAAAGAATCCTCGAGTCGTGCGTAAATTGCAATGCCTATTTGAAGCGTCTGCAAAGGAGTGCAATTGGTAGGGCAAAAGCTCTACAAAATTACTTGGTTGGAGACTGCTTGTTGCTGACACATGCTCCAATCTGACAATGTCCAGTAGTCACTGGTTCCATATAACCATTTTCATATCTCCAATCTCCTCGTCCCAACCAAGTCTTAGTTGCATACCGCTGCAGCATAATTCTAGCTTAAGGGATGGAGGGACCTGCTTGGCACATGGGGTCGAAGACACTGCTTACAATGGACAAAATGCCTCTGAGCATTGCTGGACGTTCCTTCGAGTGCATTTTAAACCTATGGTATCTTCCCGAGCACGTGTTCCAAGAGACTGACGATCAGATCTGCAGAAGCGCAAAATGTTGATTATACGGCAACAACAGGGTGTGTCTTCAGGTGGTAGCTCTCAGGTGTTCGGGATGTGTCTCCATCTTGAAACAAAACAGAGTGTAGGAAATCTTGGCGGTGTTCTGAGACCTTTAATTGCTGGACAAACATGCCGCAAGAAGCAAGAAGAAGATTTTGAATGTGTTTTTGAGAATGGGTCCCGGGAGAAGCGCATCGTTCAGCAAAAGTGTCTATGCAGAGCAATCAAAACTCTAATCTTGACCGATTTAGCAGGGTTGTAGATGCAATGATGCTGCATGTACCACTGATTTACTACATCGCTGTTGTCATCAGAGGCTTGGGTGATTTTCTCTGCTTATCCCTTCGCAACTTGTGAGTTCATGTGGTAAAATTTCGAGTTGCTACCCAGTTTCTTCAAGGACATCAAACTTCCCATGGCGAGGCGTTTGATGTCTTACAGTGTGTTTTAAGAAAAGGAAACCGAGATTAATTCGTTCATTTCTTGGACACGGATAAATATTTTGGAAATTGGCAAAATAACATAATAATATCCTCTTTTTATGACACCAAGAAATCCAATTTACTGTTACATATGACTGAGCACGAATTAAGCAGTTCAATCAATCATGTCAGAACTGGTCTTGCACCCGATAGATGCTCACCTTGGCTGCCCAGTGCAGGCCTTTTGTTGGGCCTCCAAATTATGCAGTCCTCGGCATGTTATTTCAATCTACTTTCCTTGAAAGTTGGACAGGTTTTTCTTGTTCTCAACCACCAAAATGCAGCTTACAAGGCTGAGCAGCATGTGTTTAGTGGTTGAGGACTGGAAGCCTCCAGCAAGTAGCACTCGCATTTGGTCAGCGTTTTCCTGACCATACCATTCCCGCCAAGTCGACAAATTTGGAGAAACTTCCGAAAGTACCAAAGGAAGGGGACAAGCTTGAATCTCAACAAGGGTCGCTCAGGCCTACGGAGCCACGGCAAGGTCAGATGCGAGCATCAGGGCTGTCTGTGATCGAGTTGCTACAAAGAGACCCACATGTGTCTGCCAGAAGAAATGGGCTAAGGAATTTCGCCACCCTCTTTTCACAAGATTATTTGATTGGACATCCAATAATACCCTTACAAGATGCACAGGCGACAAGAATTCCTTGATATAGATCCACCCAGACAACTAAGATTTTGCCGGTGGTTCCATGACCGGCATCCCAGGTTCTTTGAGCACCTTAATTGTGATTGGGGATGCAGCAGCGTTTTTCATGAATGGCCAAGTCAATAACCAGAATGCATAACCAGAATGCATACCCCATATATCTTGCAAGCTAGATCCCCAAAAGGTAGGTCTAGCAGCTTCACAAATCTACCAATTATCATCTCCTCGAACTGTTTATCTTCAACTGAAGGCTCTTTCTTACTGTCCACCCGATGTTCCGGAAAATTCATGTCTATGAATGATCTGACCGTGTCTTCTAACCTCTGAAGTTGTCCTGCCTTTTCTGTTGCTAAAGCTACTTGAAGGTTTGAAACGTTACAAGTAGAGCTCATCCCCACCCCTGACCGCGCCCCACATTATCCACCCAAGCACTCTTCTGGCTCTTTGGGGCTCATAACGTATTTGGCCCTGTCCTTCGTTTTTACTTTATGGCTTTAGGCGGCTGGAACATGACCATCAGCACCCCCACCTTGGCCTGAATAACTGGAAGCCTAATTTCTCTAAGGTGTTCCAATCAATCAACGTCTTTTGGAATTGGCATGAGATCTCTGGCACAGACATGTCGGATTGGTATAGAGTATAGACCACTGGGATCTTTACAGCAGGACCGGAGTCCAGACTGGAAACTTCCTGCTCTGAGATATGGCGGGTATTGAAAGTCTGTGTATAGTCATTGTTGCGCATTGCCACGATAGTGACCTTGCCGGTTACTCCAAGCTGAGGTTGAATGTCACAAAATTTGTCTGACAAAGCTATAAACCTATATGCATAGCCGCTCTACATTATAGAAGTTATGGATAGTATTGATTTAAATGTTCCTTAAAATATTTTTTTTTAAAACTTCACTTTTCTGTGTATCACGGGAAATTCATTTAAAGTGAAAGTGACATTTTATATTACAAAGTGATGCACAGCTTTTTTTTTTCTTCGATTGTTTTAAGCGAGGCATAGCGTGAAATTAATTTTCCGTCTTGGGCAAGACTTCTATGGCGTAGTCCGAATTAAACTGAATTGGGACAAAAGTCTGAAAAACAACCCCTTGGGTGTACAGGGAAAATACAGGTCAACATTGGTTCATAGGAAATAAAATCGCTGGATGAGGACTGTTGGGATAAGTGATCTCAGTAAGATAGAGGGAGGGGTTAAGGAAATGGTTTTAGTTTGAGCTAGAAAGTATAAACGATGGAAATGTAAAGCCCACCCATCATGATGGCGTTGGTCATGCCGTAGACCATCTGTTTCTGGACAAAGAGCGTGCGCAGTCTAGATGCAGTGACGTTACGGTATTCTGCTGGAGAGGGGAGACATTGTGTTACCATTATTTTTCTTTCTGTGACGGAAAACTCCAACACTAGCTTTCAGAAACAATGAAAACCAGGGGCTAAAATAATTCTTCAAAGGATGAAAAAATGTATGAACGATCATTTTGGAAAATAACCCAATTATATACCCTGAGATAAAAAAACATCGATAGGTTTACGCTACTGTCATGACCCAGTAATCTTACGATTCAGTTACATTTTAAATCATTCTCATGACGTTCTCTGGTTCATTGGCAAAATTTCAGCTCCTTGACTAATATTACTCACTGGACATTCTCTTGCCAGAAACCTGTGGCTGACACCATAAGACTTGTATAGCGTCCGAGGTTCATGATGTTACCTGTTCGTGCAGAACTTCAGAATGGAATGTTGACGGCATTTTTAAAAAATTTCTCCCTTTCTGACCATTCAGTTGTTGGGAAGTCCGAAAAATTCTTCTCAATCTGCTGTATTTTTCTCACCACGATACAGTGTGTGTGACGGTTGATTCAATACCCCCCCCAGGGGGGATATCCTGCGCGTACAAAATAACAATTCTCACCATTCGCAGCTATTGCGTTCTGTGGTCTAGAGACGGGAGGGTTTGAAAATGGCTTCGGGCGTAGTCTTCATGATGTCGGGGGAGAAAAGTCAAAAGCCTTACTCACGGTCCCAACATCCTTGCTTTCATTTACTGGTGTTGTTTCCTTTGGTTTTGGTGTTAATATTTAATAAATAATACTGATTACATTCCTTCCTACTCACCTATGAAGTATTATTTGCAAAAAAAGAAGAAAAAAAATCCTTTGGGGGCAGATAAATAGGTAGCCGTGGTCAACATTGTCAAAGGCTTTCTTTTGGGCCAAGTTGACCACGGCCAAGGGAACATCACCTCCCCATAGATACGCAATACGCCATTGATCAAACCCGAAGAAAACAATGCCAGCAAATAAATGCAAGGATATCATCTCGGGACCACGAGTAAGGCTTTTGATTTTTTTCGCCCCAAAATAATGTTATTTATTATTATTATTAT